CCCCTCGTCCAGGCTTCGGCCGTCAAGCGCAGGATGTATCAAATTACGCCGAGTTACAGTGTAAGTGATCAGCAACAAAAACCGTACAAAACAACGATCTTGAAGGGTGAGAATATTATGGGAGCTGAGATTTATACAGCTTCGGAAAAATATGCAGCGGGAGATATTGACCTGGTTTAATTTCATATTTATATTGATGGTATACTAGTATAATCCTAACAATTTGGTATCTATAGAGATATATGGAGTAAGGCGTACTTCAATAGCAAATACGACAAACTGTTATTCGAGCAGTAATACTTAAGAAAAGCCAGTGGTCAGTACAGGAATCTCCCAAATTCTCAATCAAAAATGTACATTACATAGATATTTAAAATACAATACAACCGACTTCTTTATTAGCGGTCTCTTGTAGGCGACTCGTATCAACAAAAAAATCAACGCTTTATTAGAGAAACTAAAACAAGCCAACGGGTACTATGCGAAATATCTGCGATAAGTAAGTTCACAATTTCCAGTGCAGGAATCTTCCAAATTCTCAAACAAAAATGTATATTTCATACGTATTTATAATCCGCGCACAACCGACTTTATGATTAGCGGTCTTTTTTTTATTACAGAAACTAAAACATGCCAAAGGGTTTTATACGAAATATTAATATGCTTACAATTTCATTTTAAAAATGCTACAAGAACGTCTGCATATGCCTTGTGACTTCCGCTTATCTCTTATCAGTAAACCACTAATGTTGGCACCGCAAAGTTTGCGCCAACGTGTGAACAAGACCGAGCGTGATCAAAGGAAGCTAATTACCACCCCTAATCAACGCCCTTGATTGGTGGCGCCGTATTTGTATTCGACATTCGCTTGACGAGCTATTGTGCATGCATGCCGGAAAAACTATTATTACTTAATTAAAACTGATATTCATTTCAAGGGTCGTTGTTCGAAATATTTGAATTTATACAATGATACGTGAGAGTTGAAATGTATCCGTATGAATTTAATAAACGAATACATCGTACTTATTTTTGTAGTGCAGTGAATAATACGTACTACATACTACTATACTTGTAAAAGCCAGTGCTAGGTCTGGGTCTCAGATTTCTGTTTCTGTTTCGACATCATATGTTTTTTCTAATAGGCCTTTAGGATCAAACAATGCCTAAAGACACACGATGTCTTTAGGCAAAGTGGCACCTACATCCTCAGGGATGACAGTCGCAAGATGGAGCCACTTCGCCAACACTGTTACTTACCATTCCACTAGAAACAGGCTTATGATAATGTAACGAATTTAAGTGAGATTTTCAAATTCTTAGTTACCCCATTAAAATTTCTAGTCATACAAAATTATTTTGTTGTTTTACAACTGATTTTTCACTTTTCATTTGTTTTCATCTCAGGATGTTTTGACAGTTGTTTACGCGGGTCGAGGGTGTTAATGTGACATTACCTCTAGGCAGGAGGCTGCGGGGAGGGGGGTGGTAATTATCCCACGTCAGCAGCAGGCCTAGGCTTGTCCGTGTCTATGACTGCGTACTACGATGAGTTGAGCGAACCATAATAAATTTATTTTTACCTCACTCCTCTTTAGTAGGAAAATAGTGGCAATTTGAACTATTTTCTTTAATTAACATTTGCATGTTGAATTTTGTGTTTCTGTTCAACTTAACTGTTTACTCGACATTTAAAAAAAAATAGTTTTCGCCGTAACAAAAAAACTGAACTATATTATTTAAAATATTAGGTTTTTTTATACAAGAAAACTACAGTTTTATTAATAAAAATAAATCAGTGGTGCTACAACCTTTTTTAGGTGTAGGCCTCAGATTTTTTTATCTGTTTCATGATAATTTGTCAATCTAATAGGCAAGAAGGTGATTACCCTTATGTGCTTGACACATGCCGGCGACTTTTTGGGTCCAAGGCAAGCTGGTGTCCATGATATTTTCCTTCACCGTTCGAGCAAATGTTAAATACGCACATACAAAGAAAGTCCATTGGTGCACAGCCGGGAATCGAACTTACGTTCTCAGGGATGAAGGTCGCACGCTGACCAACACAGCTCCTATAAGTAATAATAATAGAACCTATACATGTTCGCAATTATCATTTTTTTGTAGGTTGTGTGAAACCATCGGAAGTAAACCACGTCTTAGACACTAAAATCACCGAAGTATATCCGATGAAGGTTCTATAATGAAAAAGTAATAAAATTGTTGTAGCACTGAGGTAATGGAAAACAGTAATATTCCAATTACGAGTTAACATAATGTTTCATTATCATACAATACCTATATACTGTTAATATTTACAACAAATCCGGTCAATAATATTCGTTGTTATTAGATAACATCGCATGAAGCCGCGGTTTTTCCGCCATTCTATCGCGAGCATTATTTTACATTACATTTTGTCAGGAACCGCAACCCCAATGCACCAAGCGCTTTTATTTAGACACCTAATTAAATATTTATTAAGTGCATATCTCATTTATACATTAACCCGATTTTAATTTCATGTACCAGCGCACAAAATTAGGAACAGTAATGGTCGGACCGCAAAATGAAGTGGGTTCGTGTTCTGCTACTAGTTGAGTACTCGGTGCACTTCACCAAATTATTATCGAAATGAAGTTTTCAATGCGACTAATGCGAATCGATTTCTCGCTTCTAAATGTTGCCCGTTTCTAATTATTTTCTAATCGCAGACTTTAGGAAATAGTGAGTGTATAAAACCCTGAGATGATCGATATTCATTAAGTTATTTCCTGCTTATATTCTAAATCTCATCTAATCTAAATCTTTGTTTTAAATTTATTTTATTATTATTTATTACTTAAGATGTCATGTGGAACATGGTGGAATGGTTGCAGCTCCTTACAAACGTTGTGTAAAACAAAAAACTTGGCGATTAAAAAGAGTGGCGGAGAGTTTATTGCCATTTTAACGTTCATAAGTGTACACTTATGAACGTTAAAAAGTAGTAGTAGGTACCCTACTTGAATAAATGATTTTTGACTTGGGTTGACTTGACTATTATAAATACTTAATTCATTTTTTAAATGTTGCCAGTTTCTAATTATTTTCTAATGGTAGAATTTAGGAAATAATTATTGTATAAAACCCTAAGGTAAACGATATGCATTAAATTATTTCCTGCTTATAAACGCACATTTAATTTTTAGACAAGTGTTCCTAAGTGTTTCGTGTACTAGTGCTGTGGTACTAATTGCGACCTTGAATTCTATAGAGTATAGGTAACCTAAATATATATAGTTTAGTTACTTTATCTACTTACCCACTTCTAACGGATCTTAACTAGTTGTTTCGAGTACCATTTCATATAGTCAGAATTATTACTAGTAAAATTAAGATATTTATTATTGAGTTAAGACCTACTTAATAAAAAACAGCGGAATGCTGTAGAGCGGAAATAAAATGTCGATTAAAGGTTGTGATACATTTGACTAGCAACACGTCATGCTTAATTTTAACAATATAAAACCAAACAATAATCATTAAAACTATATTTGGAGATCAGTTTTATATATTTATCGCTTAATTGGCTGAAAACTGTATTTATTATAAATAAAAGATAGCGTATCATAATTTTCTTTATACATTAATAGTGCTATATTATGTCGAGCAGACACACTACTGCGCCTGTTTCACATATAATATTGAGTTATCTTAAATGGAGACTGTTTTGTCTTATATATTTATTTACAAATATCACGAGAGTATTAGGGTTAAAAGATTGACTTTTAGCGTATAAATCAGACCATATTTAGGTATTTGGACCATATGTCAGAATGACCTTATAATCAATTTTAAATAGTCGTCCGAAGGCATTTTGATACATACTTCGAGAATTTAAATTATGAATAAGATTATCATGTTTTAAGCTTTTAAATTGAATTATGATGACTGATTTACAAATAATAGCATGAGTGAATTCACGGTAAATAAACGTTAGACGTGACGCATTCCGCGTTCAAGACCTCCCTAAACTCGTACCACATAGTGTTTACGCCATCACACATCTAAAACGATACTATAAGAATCAGAGTCTAGCCTTACGAACTGTGTCTCCCGTCTAATTCCTATAAATTTTTGTTGTACTGGAGTCAGACTTGAGTAACTCCCGTAACCCGTAGTACGTTATAATATCGTATTGGACATTGAAGCGTCAAGACGCGCAATCTTGCCCTTAATGTTATAGAGACGTAAGAGACGATTAATATTTTTATTTAAATTTATTTAAAAAAGAACAATCAAAGCTTACATCTAAGAACACAAAAATAACTATAAAACCTAATTGTACACCACAGACAAACACAGCATACTTTATACTTAATAACTATTTCTAACACAATTCTTACTAACTATATATATAGCTATGATCTAAAAGTGAGATATATATATGATATGATAAGTTATTGCAAAATTTTGGTGATGATATCTGGGAATAAAAGAAAAACTTCCACAAAGTAATAAATAACGGGGTTCTAATGACCGTTGATTTTGGATGACAAAAATCATAAGGAGGTCAAAAAATAAATAAGTTAATAAATAAATCAAAATTTACTTATGATATAATATAATAAAAACTGTTCTGGGGTTCTCCAGGACGATGCAGCCACGGGACAATACGGAAGAAATATTATAATGGACTATGTCTGTGTGATATATATTCCTACTCCCTATTTTATAACTCCTACTTCACAATCGTAGACAGCAAGGCAAAACCAAATACGAATATCACCAAAAGGTGTAACTACTAGTTTTGAAAATACCAGACTTATTATATTATTTTAATTTAGATGTTATTATTTTAATACTAAACGATTTTAATTTAGATGACCGAATCGCACAATGTAATGTATGTCTGGACTGATCATGATTTGAATTCTACATGTTATATGGCTTCTCAAACGTAGACTAAACAGTTAAGTAAAAATTATCGTAACCATGGTAACAAAAACTTTATAATAATGCCCAGTGTTTACATCAATACCATATTTTCGGCATTTGTAACCTTCACATCACTTCCGGTCAAAGGTGAACGCGTTTTTCCTCAAAGCAAAAAGTAAGATCTCAATCTATTTATGGATTTTTCCTCACGTACTGTATTAACATATAGATATATCATAATTAACACGACGCGTTTAATTTTACTAGAATAAAGGAATTGAATGTGGGAATTACCAGTTCGTCACAATAAAACAGGTAAATTATAATTTCAAAATTATCAATTTACAATTCCAATTATAGAATATATAAGTACCAACTGTAAAATGTAAATACATTTATTATAATGTAACATGTGTAAACACACAAAGTTAAATTCAATAATATTTTTTTTTAAATAGAACGTATGGAATGTCGGGCGGAGTTTTTCTAGAACCTATTTACGAGAGTAAATTCGTTAAAAAAATGCAAACTTGTGTTTCTATGCTAGATCAAAATTTTGTTAGATTATTAGGAACAAAAAATGTTGAGATACACGCCATATTTTGTTTTTTTTTTGTTCACGTTATTTTCCTTTACCGTATGAGCGAAAAATAGATTTAAAACTCCATTTGTGCACAGCCGAGCTTCAAACCGAGATCTCAGTTAAAGAGTAGCGCCCTCTAACTACGCTAACACAGCTTTTAAATAATATTATTACTTAAGAGCCAATATTTTTTTCTTATTAGCATTTAAGTTACAAAGCTTTGAATAATTTTAATACCAAAACCCTACGTGTCAAAAGGCTCGTTTACACGACAAATACGTAGACAAAGAGGCCCAATACGTCCACTACATTTACATAATGTTTTATGGCCTAACCCCTGACTCAGTTGTCCGTTTGCATAAACTACGGAGTGACGACTTTAAAAAACTTGTTTATTACGAAATGATCGTCAGTGAATTATTGGAATCGGTTAGTCAAACAGGTTATAATCGACGAAGGACATAGGCCTACATAGGTATGAACATAATCTAAGTTTTGAAAATAAAACGTAAGGCAGAAATTGCCATGCTTGAAACGGTGATTAAACTCTAAATTAAAAAAAAACATAATGAGATGACGAGTTCTTTTAAATTAACTCTGGTGTCCTACCTCTTCGGTATATGAAACATTAAGAAGAAAATAAATAAAATTTCATACTATCAGAGTGTTTGCATACTGATGGGTGAAACAATGAATCAATTCACGTTCAACTGAGCCACGAAATTTGTTTGCAAACAGTAGTACCTTTATGGGTACGAGAACTACTCGTATTGAAACGATAAATTGGAGTGACTTACTTTGAATAAATGCTATTAATTTTACGTTAAGTTAACCTTCTTTATTAAATAATATTTACGATTTACAGCTCATTTGCGAACCAAATTACACAAGCTTAGACAGCATACAAATCATTCAATGTCCATCTAAACCTATAAAGGATTATCCATTTGGAAAACAATACAAAATATACTGTCAAAATATCGATTGTATTCAAAGGTTTGACCTACCTTTCGTTAGCATTGAAGTGTGAATCAGCGGCAATCCCGGCGCGTACGCTGTTCCGTACACGTGACCTCCATATTTAACACCTGTTCATAATTCATAAGTAAAATACTTACAAATACTACTACTTACTTCGTTTTATTACCCCGATGGTAAATACCATAGATTTCTGGAATAAGATTGATCCAAATTGACAAAGGTTTTAAATTTTTTTAATGTTCTATATTTAAAAACCAGCAAGTGTGCCGTTTGTAAGTTGAGCAAGTCTAAGTTTTTTAAAATGTATCAGACATTAAAAACGTTTCTTAAAATTTGTAGCAACCTTAACCATATCTATGGAGTTCTGCAGTTCCTTAAATCTACAAAAAAAAATCAAATAATATTTATTGTTTGTTATCTACGTAACATTATAAAGAAATGTAAAAACTGTATGGATTTTATTATTACAATTCATAATATACAAAGATCTAGTGGAAATACCTGATTGTGTTTAACATTAGAATACTATAACTTTGATAAAAGGTTAAAAACCATCTATTATAAAACTAAACTAAAGGTTTAAATATGGTGGAATAATACATAATATAATTGTATAGTCTCTTTATGTATAAGATATTTAAGCGTCATATTTTATTGTATTTTTAAACACCTTAAAGATAAATAAATATTTTATTTTCACATACATAATTTAATTTTATGGAATAGATAATTAAATATGGGCCTGTGAATTTTGTACCTACTGTCGCTTGACATTTAATATAAGTAATTTAATTAAGTAAGTTTACCTCGATGACATCATTATAATGGAAACTTTGTTAGAAAGTGCGGTGCAATTATTGAGTCACATTAGTATTTAATACCCGAGGGTATTTATTTTGTAAATTGTTCTTGTCTGCATTGAATTACGAAAGCGGTTCACAAGTTTCTATAAATACATACGAGGAATTTCTAGCTTATCTGACCTTAAAACCATTTATATATCGGTTTTTCCTGACCTGTACAATCGAACCTTCAACTATACCGTATAATAAATTTAATTTTTAACTTTCAGAAAACGCTGGCAACATTCTAGGCGCAAGTGAGTGGAATACTGGCTACTCCTCCACCGCGTCAGTGTACCCAAGCTATGCACCCCTGCAACCTCCTTATTATAAACCAGACGCTGCCATTCACATACCTTCTGGTAATAATTTGATTATTAATTCAAAATATACGCACTCTTTATGCCGGTGCTACCTATAAGGGTAATATTGAGAGTCAAAACTAAGTGTGCATGACTCCTGATCGTCAAAATCCAATGCGTTTTTGTCATACGGAAATTGTACTTAACGCCAAAATTCGGCTCCAAGATTCAAAATTCTAGCACACACGTCTTATAAACCGGAGGGCTCGTTACCCGATTAAACAATAATTGTTAGGATAGGCATGCCTTGCTTCAAAAAATGATTTAGAAGCAGCTAAATCAGCTAATCCTGGCCTCAGGCTTGATTGTCTATTGTTTATTCATCTACTAACTAGTACGAGTCTTAGAAATAATGTTTTCCCTATGCGTAACATAAATCATACATAGATAATAGCCATTATTATAAATACTTATAACTGTTATGCTCAATATTTAGGATGCATTACGTTTTTAATTACCGTAAGTTAACTTCAAAATGTATTTTTCTCGTAGATTGAAAACTGCATTAGAGTAAACTTAATAACTTCTCGAACAACTCATTAGAGCTAGAAATACTCGTAAACGTATTTATAGCCATAGTAGTAGTATTTAGGTAATTTGCTACTAGTACAAGTCCCAATTTTGTCAATAAAATACCCTTAATTAATATGTATTATCTATTTTCAGTTCTTCCGGAAATTCCTTTGGGTCACACTGACTACACTGGTTTTCAAGGCGGTAACAGTTATGTCAAAGGCAGTCCGAGTGGCACCGGGGGCAGTCTCACAGATCTCAACAACATGTCAACTCAACGCTACGACCCAAACTATTACAACTCATGGCCAAGCAACAGTTACAACTATCAATACAATAACATAAACAACAACCCGGCATGCATACAATCCCATACACCTTACATCAACCCCAACCCTCAAATGATCCTTCCCAACCTCTATTCCACAGTTAATCAAAACCAAATTCACGTACACTTACATAGCTCTACTGATAAATACAATCTAGAACAGTACATACCGAGTGAAATAAAAATAAGTGATATAGACGGTGGTATTTCCATTACAACTGAACTCCCTGGTAGTGGGGAAGCCAGTGGCCTTGTGCAAACTTGCGAGAACGATGACGTCAAACATCAGCTTTATGGCACTAATCAAGAAGTGTGGCGACCATATTGACAGTACGCTTATTATGATGAGAACAATCAACAATCTATTGTACATATTGTGATATAAGTGTGTATATAGACTAAATCAATTAATGTTAAACATTAATTAGATTGTATGTGTTATGTATTCTTATTGTATTAAATTAACATATCACGTTTTGCTGTGTTTTTCATCAAAAATAAAAATAAAGTCCCTTGAGTTCAATTATTTACCCTTTCTACGTTTTGTTTACTTTATATCTAAAACTCCACTCCTAATGAGTCAATAAAACCACACAGGTGACCTGAAGACCTAATTTATATCTAAAATTCTACTCCTAAGTTACGAAAACCAAGCAGGTTTCCTGAAGACCTTATATCGTTTAATTGAATAAATAATTATAACGGTACTATAACTACCGTTATAGAACTTTGTTCATTGTTTTATAAATACTATTTACTTAACCTTACAACGAAAGAACTGGAAGAATCGCTAAGATTTGCCGTAATTTGTAAGTATAGTTACTCTAATGATTATTATACAATATAAGTTCGTTAATTATATCTCTTATATATTCAACCAATTTCATTACATATTGTCCTATTGCATGGTTGAATTACAATTAATCCTAATAATATTAATTCAAATTCACCGCCAAGAGTGTTACATAGATTGAAATTTAGCGCCAAACGGAATTTTGCATTATCTGTCATTTAAACGCTCCCGTTTTTAGGGGACATAAACTCACTTTTATCACTGAACATATAGCATTGAAGATTCCGATTCCTGAACAGAAACTTCTGAGTTCCATTACCGTTCCACGTTAATAGCATATTTGCTCTCGCCGACAACGCTCTTCGTTCTCTCTTTATATCGCCATCATCGTTAAGGTCGGGAGATAAAATGTGACTGAAGTACTTAGTGACTTCCTGTACTCCACAGTTGTTAATAGTGTCCGCCGGTACAAAGCCCTCCTCCCTGAATCAAAAATTGCTGATGCCAAATTGTTATTGCCATCTTTGGGACAGCCAATTCGAATTCTGGTTAGCTCCTTTATCAGCTCATTCACTGATGTTATCCAACATCGATGTTTGCTTTTCGATAAATATCGAACATCGATGTTTAACATTCGATTATGACATCGATATCAATATCGATGTATTTCTAACATCGATCATCCCTATATGCGCTACGCAGTACGCAAGCATATTTTAATAAAAGGAATAAAACGCTAGGCATATGTGGTCTGGACACATCAGATGCTCAAGTTTTAAATTAATCTGTAATCAACATAATAGTTCAAATTTGATATAAGATACTGGCAACACTTTAGTATGGTATTAAAATGGCGGCGATGAACTCGAGTTAGAACAGTTATAAGTTATCAATTACAATTAATTTACTAAGCAATTCAAGTTCGTGCTAGTTGTAGTGATACAGTTTTTTCAAATAAATATATATATGTTTAATCAGACTAACAATAATCAGTTTATATTCAAACTGTAAGTATTTCGTATCTGCAGGTGTACCTGTTTATCTACGTCATTCTTGCAGGATTTCGATAGACGCCGATCGCAAACTATTGGTGTTTTAGCATTAATTTGGCTTCTTTACTTGCAGTCCAAAGAGCCTCTTAACTCGTTAGTGAGAGTGCGATGTCAGAGGAGTTAGAGAGACATGTCGAGACGGCGAGCGACGCTGCCGCTGGCAGCGGCGTCACAAACGTGGCGCGAGTGTTATTGACCCCTCAGCAGCTCGAGACAGCGACCGCGGAGTCTCTCCGTACCTCGTGGAAAAACCAGGACTCGTATATTGAGCACCTCGAGACATTGAACAAACAGTTGGAAGGTACCTATTTACGAAACGATTACAGTGGCTTGGTAGTGTTAATCGGCAATGCCGTATTGTGAGATTACGTGCAAAAGTTGTTAGTTCTGTATCGACAATGCTTTAACTAAAATATTAATAGTGATATGACAAAATAATTGTGACTTAATGAATAACTGCAATGTTACCAAAATATGTATTGTTTGTGGTTACGGGTGTATCTAGGTGTTGTAAGATAACAAGAAAAGAAGGTGTAATCCTGTGTTCCAAGTGAAGTGCTGTGGAAGTGACACCATGTGGGGTATTGGGATGGCTAGTAAAAAGCCTAAAGGCATTGTGATAAATGTTATGAAAAAGTCAAAAGTTTCCAAAGAGCAGTGCCTGATTTCTACAATTATGTATCTACCGGAAAAAGTAAATATGTTTTTTCTTTAATTTTACCTAGATTTAAGTGAAGTTTTATAAAATTTATAATTTAATTCAAAAGAATTGTAATACTTTTTCTGTATAATAATTATGTATGTGTTAAAATGATTGTTTACTACATACACCAATGTAGATGACCTACCTAATCTCATAATTAAAGAAAAATAGTAGAATTTTATTTTATTTATACTTTGTAGTTGTTCTAGTGCTTAGTACTTCTATGTTGTTATAATAATATACAATATATTTAATACATTAATGCTCAGTTTGATCTTACCTTAAAATACTTTTTGTTTGATCTTTACACTTATAATAAATTAAATCATTATAGGTATTTGGTATACATATGGATTACACATGTAAAACCTGACAAAAGCACTAACTTATATTATCTGTTTGGATTTTTAAATATATATATTTATGTAATTACAGAATAAAGTAATTTGTACCAACTATGTTAAAAAATATGTTAACGATTCTTATTTATTGATGTATAATAAAAATTTAAATAAGGATTTTGAAAAAAAATTGTGGGTTGTAGGTAAAGTTTTTTAGAATTTGTTTACTATATTTTACTTGCTCATTTTAATTACTCAATAATTAATTAGTTCTTTTTTACTTGTACCCAAAATAAATGTTTATTTAACATAATTAATAATCTAATCAAATGACAATTATTTATATATTGATGTTAATAAAAGTTGATACTTGAAAAATCCATGCCATAAATAAATTCCTTTAAACAAGGTATAAAGGGATAGTGATATGTATATGACTCATGCCCTTGTGACTACTAGAATTCATTATTTATATTATGCTTAACATTTTTCATGACAAATTTGTTAAAATTATTAATTACTTACACCTGTTGATGCTTGTTATTTATTTAAAATGTTACAGATTTGGTGTATTTTTGAAAATGTAAATTAATTTTGCCAATTTTAACTGTTTATTCTATTATTGAATTGGGCAATAATGTGTTTGACTTTTAATTGTGCCTATATAAATAATATAATATTTTAATACAGTAATAACAGTATGTCAGATATTAATTCCACTATAAGCTTAATCTTAATTAATCTTTTGAGATATTCTCAATGGATAGTTTTTATTGTATATGCAATAGGACTTCCTAATTCAATTCCGTCATTTTTATTGTTATGTTTGCAATTGCCTTATATGTGGTTTAAATTGTATGCACTATATAGTTCATACAATTCAGGAATAATAGTATTCAGGAATATGTCCATAAAGAATTGTGAAGCATTAACAAAAATATTTTTTATGTAAAAGTACTATGATAAGCTATTATAATTGCAGTTGTTATCTTATAATGTATTTCTATTCTATTATTGACTAAATTTCATATGGTACGTAATTTAGTTAAGGTGTTGTCGATCACAACATTGTGACAAGTTGTAAAGCAAAGAAAATTTGAGATATGTATAGCTGTTATATTTAATTGTATACAAAACCAATCACTTAATTTTTTATATTAATAATGACTAATTTTTCAGGCAGCTTGGAAAAGGCGAAAGGTGTAGAAGAAAGAATAAGGCAACAATATGCAGAGTCACAACATCGAGAAAAGGTTCTTGTAAGGAGATTAGCTGCTAAAGAACAAGAAATACAAGACTATGTAGTAAGTATATTAATTACTATGTTCAAATTAAAGTGTTAGAACTTCAAGCTGAATTTAATATGTGATGCATCTTGTCCATATGTAATACTTATACGATTACATTACTATTATGATTTAATATGATGCACATTATGGAGTGAACATAATGTAAGAAGCCCCAATGGAACATGATACGTTTATGTGTACAGAAACAGTAGAAATGTGGATTTTTGATTGTGATTTTTAATAAATTATTTCATATTATGTTTTCTTACCTTTTTACTATGCATTAAAAATTAAATAATAAAAAACGAGTTTAGTATGTTGATAATATTATACATGCGTAATTTGGCTTAATATCATTGTATGTGTTAATAACTAGTAATTACTGATTGTTTGAAATCATTGGCTATGTTTTTACTTGTGTCTAAAATTAATGGGGCACAAACTCATATATTTTGATGCTTCTAGTAGAATAACTCTTAGCACAATTTTTACTAATAATTCTTAAATCGAAAATGATTATGTTTAAGAATTCATCTATTAATGACTTTGCATTAGAGGTATGTTGAAACAAAAAATCATTCCTGTTACTTTTTCATCACAGTGCTTTTATTGGTATTGTATTTAAATTTCAGAGTCAAATCACAGAACTCAAATCATCACACGCAAGTTTAAATGGGCGGCCATCGTTACTGGATCCAGCCGTTAACATGCTTATATTAAGGCTTAAGCAAGAGCTAACATCAACTAAAGCTAAGCTAGAGGAGACTCAAAATGAATTATCTGCATGGAAATTTACACCTGACTCAAATACAGGAAAAAAGCTGATGGCAAAATGTCGTCTGTTGCATCAAGAGAATGAAGATCTTGGCCGAATGACTTCTAGTGGTCGGATAGCTAAGTTAGAAGGTGATTTGGCATTGCAGAAAAGTTTTAGTGAAGAAGTTAAAAAGTCACAATCAGGTATGTTAATAGCAATAGTTGTTCCCTTTATGATATTAAATATAACAGGGCTTCTTAAGTGTAATATTAGACAAAAATTGGTTTTATGCACACCACTTAATTAGTAATAAAATCTGTTAATAGAATCAACACTAGCATCTTACTCTGTTTATGTCCCCAGGAATTATACTAAAGTTAACAAGGCCACATTAATATTGTGTATATTTCAAATAATGTATGCAAATATTGAATGACACCTAATTCTAATTATTTAAAATCACATTTTCAGAAATGGATGAGTTCCTACAAGAATTAGATGAAGATGTGGAAGGTATGCAGAGCACAGTGCTATTCTTGCAACAAGAGTTGCGAGCGACACATGCTACAGTTAATGGAAACCGGCCAAACACACCTGCTGACAAACGAACTTACTCCGGTAGTGAGTGCAGTGACACACCAGTCGGAAAACGGCGCCGCGCCTCTGTGCTTTCTCTAGACTATAATGAAGAAGAAGAACCACTTACAGTGACTAATGGTGAAGCGGACTAGTGATCAAACATTTATCTATGAATTCTCTGAGCGGTCTTTCTTCAAGTGCTATAGACAAAATTCAATTGCATTGCAATTAATTCATCACGTTTTGAGTAAGTGATGTGTAATGTGGAAAGTATTAGTGGACCATTCTGAACAAGATGTGAATTTGACATTGATTTTTATTATTGGAACAAACAGATGACAATTTTGTAATTTATTTATGTAAAGTGCATTAATGTGATAATTTGACTTATATGAGCAATAATAGTTTTTGTTGCCAATGTTACTATGGACGCCTCCGTTGGTGAATATTCCTCGTGTTGCAATAACAATGACACTAAGCCTAAGATAAATGATTGCCGAGTTTTTATTGAATTTATGTGATTTTCTAAATAAAATGTTTCTATTTTGAAATTAGGATTGAATGTATATATAGAGTTATGTTAATAAACATATTTCATCAGTTAAAGGTTGTTTCATTTTTAATGCTCAATATAATACCTATAACCTTTTTGCATATTGTTAATTTAACCATGATGTCAACATTTTTATTTCAAAAGCAAGCTATAGTTTAGGCTTTGTTTAATTAAAATGATGTATTTATTATCAACAGTAAACATTTGTAATTAAATTTTTGTACAAATTCCTTATTAAACATGAATAGGAGACTTCTTGCCACAAGATAGCCTCATATAAATTCCATGACAGGCCTGAACAAAAGCAGTGTCTGAATTAATCACTTTTAATTCACCTTAACTTTTTTCAAGTTTTACTTTATATGTAAATTTATCTTATTTTTGACTTAGTAAGGCACTAAGCAATTGACATCTGAAAAAACACGAGCAGGTACAAAAAATTCATTCAAGTCATTACAATAAAACTCAGATATACACAAATAATTTATTAAAAATGCAAGGCACCTTATTATCAACACATCGGTGGGATTTATCACACATTATTTTTGACTAGCAAGTAAAAGCTTACATTATAATTATTTATTATAGTGTGCGTAATATTACAACGATCACAGATTGAAAATACCAATCCTTTATTATTCTAACAATTATACTAATTAAAACATTACTAGCCTTACACACACATAAGAACATATGCTTCGATATTATTTTAAAGTCCTCTTTTATGGGCCATGCCCATAAACTAGCATAAAAAATATTCGATTTATTTTACTAATTTTTTTTTTGTGAAACCGTAACCTATTTCATCCAAGATTTCACAACTCGGTGATAAAAATATAATAGTTTAATCTCAAACTAAACCAAAAACTAAAATATTATGCCTAGTTGAACCGAGCATAAGTGACAGCGCACGATATTGCTGGTATTGAAAATAAACAGAATACATACAATTTACATTCAATTCACAAATTAGCGTTAAATAGAAAAGCGAAATTTCTATTCCATTGTTAATGCTGCTAAGATCTTTGAACTTGAAGTGTCATCACTATATTTTTTTTTTTTTTTTTTTTTAAGACAATTCACACCAATTGACCTAGTCCCATGCTAAGCTGGTGAAGCTTGTGTTATGGGTACTAGGCAACGGATATACATACATATTATAGATAGATAGACATATAAATACATATTTGAACACCCAAGACCTAAGCACAACACCAAATGCTCATCACATCGATGTTCGTCTCAGCCGGGGATCGAACCCGGGACCCATGGATTCGCAGTCAGGGGTACTAACCACTAGACCAATGAGTCGTCAGTATATATATTCTTGTTCTTATCTTAACATCTTCTTATACGTAAAAAAACAGAGAAAATATTATTCAGAGATTAATATTTTAAGTTTTTTTTAAACAAGATATACTTACTGTACTGCAAACATGGACGACATGTAAAAGTGTGGACAAAGGAAGAATGTGGTAACAAACTAGTTTAGATAGTTAAAAGTTAAACAATAAAAGTAATCTTATGAAAACCATTGCACTACATAGTTAAAACAAAAACTCTTCAAACATAAAAATATTTTATTAACAGAAAAAAGTATTATAGTTTATCTAAAACGTGATATTAATCTTTAATTAGGCACATAGTGATCAGCTACCATAAAGGACCGAAATATTTAAGACACAATTATTTTTTTATGTTCTGTCGAATCTAGAGGCTCCGTTTTTTAATAATATCTAGCGTAATAATTAAGAGGGTATCCCGGAAAATAATGTGACCAGAATCATAAGATGAGCAGAAGTCGTTTTTTAAATTATTTCTAAGTCAACGCGCGGCCTTTTCCCCACGAGGCAAATTCTGGCCAAGTTACATGCCGAGACTAATACCTACTTATACAGCGAACTGTTTTCGTCGATTATGTAAATTAATACTTATTATTATTTATTTCTTTCAAAAGACACAGAGCAAATGAAAAAATAATATAACACCTAAGTCGTTATGCCTACTATTTTGATTGTCCCTTCACATTATTCGTGCTAAACGCACTAAATTATATTTAGTAACATATGAAATAGCATAATTTTCTTAATATACAGATAACCGGCAATAATATAAAGTAACCAATTTGAAATAACCAATCACTTACGGCTAATCCCCTTGGACCCAAAATTATCCCCACCCGCGTGCACGTCAGTCGCTTGGTACTTTATCAACTTGTCATCCGCTGTTCTTACCCGTTCCTGAAGAATTTCTACAGTGCGATTTAGCAGTTTAATTTCTTCTTGTAGAGGGTACAGTTGCATGTTCATCTGCATTAGCTCTTTTTCATGAGCCAACTGTAGTGTATGGAGCTGTTGATAAAAAAAAATGTGACAAATGGTTAATACGCAACAAGGTTTAGACATTCAATCCAATGTATCCTTTCCAATTTAATCTAGACTATCTAGTATCTAAAATAATAATAATTACTTAAATGAGATCGAAACATCATGTTTTTAGCTATTTGGTTACTTAGTTGACAAACCGGATACAAATAAATTTGGTTAATTTTGACCGTGATGGTACAACGAAAACATTTTATACGATTATCCTGAATCAATGTTGAGTCATTGATAGACATGTTTTATGGCAACCAGGAAAATATTTAATTGATAATGTGTATACTTATATATAATAAACAGAGGAAAATAATGTAGACGAATATTATCTTAGCTAGAGGCAGACAAATCACGGACACGAGAAAATTTCGAAACAATGTTTAAATTAGAAACATTTGATGATTAAAAGTTAAATAATCTTTAAAAAAAATTAAGTAATATTGATTGTACTATATCAGAGATTCTTTACACGGGTATTAAAGTTTTATTTTCCAAAATATGTAGTAGTCATAAAATAACATAACAAATAATGCTTACATCTTGTATACGTTTCTTTTTCAACATAATTAGGTCTTCATTAGTCCTTTTTAAAGATGCGAGAAGACCCACCCTTTCTTCCATGAGGGCTTCCTTCTGCTTTCTTACATCTGATATTTCAGCTTCCATCTCATGAGTCACTTTAAGCATCACACTCTCAGCCGACTTAGCTGGTCTACATGTATTTTTCTTTTGCGGGTTTAAATTCATTAAAACTGAAACAAAGGGAAAATTCAGGACAGCGTCGGGGCTTCACAATTAGATTCAAACTTATACAAAAAAAACTACTTTTACTAAAAAAAGGATGTTATGTATCTGACTATAGCAGAAAATTTCGATAAAGTATATTTCTGCCATTTAACCATATGAAAAAACTAAGAAAATTCTCTTCTAAAAGACCTAGTTCTTTTTAATAACATTAATTACTTGAAAATAATATACATATAATAATAGTTATCTACGTTCCACCTACTTTCTTTTTCCTTTTGCAGATTTCTCAAATTCTTTCTTAACTCTTCCGATTCCCGGTTAATTTTAGCAATTGTTCGTTGTTTCGCTGTAAGTTCAGTCTGTAATCCCTTTATTGTAGCAATGAGGTAGCTGTCTTCTTTTAGTCTGTTAAAAATTAAGGCTGAATTCTGGGTTAATCTACTAACGGCTGACGATGCTCTGTCAGCCTTTAAAAAAGTTTGTGTCCCAACCGTATGTTGATTTTTTTGGACTGTTTGGACGGCAATGTCTTGTAAATTAACTTTATTAATTTTATTTTTCAAGTCGTTATTGGTTTTTTTGTCATCCATTAGCTGTCTCTCTACGTCGACTATATGATTCTCGTATTTCTGTTTCATGTCGGTAAACTTTTCTTGAAGAGTCATTAAAACCTGGTGAAAATGCGTTTCTTTGTCTTTCAATTCTTTTTCTAACCTCAATATACGATCTTCTAACAATTTCTTTTTATTATCGTCGACTGTGGATGATTTTGATGCAACTGTAAAAGCATAATCGTTATCAATGAAATAATGTGTACCTACCGTTATGCATAAACTGGTTGTTAAATACATATTTAAAATATTCGGTTTACATTAACACCTGAGAATTTTAAGAACGTATATATATATAGAGTGGAATTTTTTAACATCACCTGAAAAATAAGTAACCTAAAAACTGTAGATTACTTATTTTATATAAACGGGAAATTATTTAAAAAGAATGGGAACCTTCAAATTAATTGAACCAAATATACTTTACACACGGTAAACGAGCTGGTTATAATACGAAAACATGTACTTCAATCAAACCAATCAAAGTTAAATCAAATCTTTCTAATGTCTTAATTTAATTAGAAGAAAAGATATGAAATATATTGCTGTTCAATATACTGTTCACAGTATATACATATATAGTTAATATAGGTACATATATGCATAGCTGGTGGTAAAATACGGGTCAAATTTTTTTTATAAAAATACTAGTGGACCCCACAGACGTTGTCCTGCATGATATTTAAAGCGATTAGGATATTAAGCAAAGTATGAAAGTACCGACTGCAGTGCCATCTGCCGGGCTGATTTGTGAATCTAAACCATTCCCAGATCCCCTTGAACACACACAAAAAATTTCATCAAAATCGGTCCAGTCGTTTGAGAGGAGTTCAGTCACATACACACGCACAGAAGAAATATATATATTAAGATAGTACACGCAACTATGTATATTGTGCACTAATTTCCAGTAAAATATTACAAATTGCAATTACCAATTAACGCGGAAACAGAGTCCGGATGTTTCCTCCTTAATATCAACTCCATTTCCTTAACCTGCCTTTGCAAGTCCTGTATAGTCATAGCATCTTTCTCGCGTTGGATACTAAAGTTCTTTCTTTCATTCTTCTCCTTGTTTAACTCAACCAATGCACTTTGCTCATTTTGCTTATAATTTTTAAGTTCAGTTTCTCTATTGTTGTATTCCTTTGCAAGCCGATTTACGAATTTCTCGCATTCAACTAATTTAAATTCAGCCACATGTTTATCTTCTTCTAATTGCCTTACTATGTTCTTTAACGCCTTACAATCGTCTACAAGTTGTACGTTTAATAATTCAAGACTTTTCACTCTTTCATTTGTATCCTTTAGCTCTTCCAACTGCTGATCGTGTTTACAATTAAATTTTTTCGGCGTACCAGACGTCAGCCGAGCTACTTTCGCGGCTTCTTTTTTCTTAGAATCTATTACTCCTGCGGAGAAAGGTCTTGTTTTCGGCTTACGTCGACTATCAATATTGTCTTTCCCATTTCGCTTAACTCCTGGGCTGACCTACAATGTAAAAGAACATACTAAATGTATGTTTTTATAATATTATGCTTTAAAATGTAGGCCATTGACTCGCTCGAGCGGTAACTGTAAAAATAAAAGCCTATAGCGCTTGGTGCTGGATAATCGGAGAAAATCGTGTTTACAGTAAACAGTGTCGTTATTAAATAACTGCAACTCGATGGCAATGACCGGTAAAAGCGGACGAAGCTGCAAATCTGGTTCCTAAATAAATATAACTGTTAGACAATTCCTCCAATCGGATTAAAATCGATAATGATTATTTTGTCTTTCCTATAGACGATGATTCCTAACCTTTTCTATGTCACTACCCCTGATATCAAGTATGGGAATTGAGTTTACCCCTAACTAATTTAAAATAATTAAAACCACACAAATTTGAACGAAAATATGTTTGTTATGTAAGAAATTAACCGTTTAGGTAACTAGTAAAGTAATATATAAATCTTGGAGTTAACTAGTGTGAAGGTTGAAATCGCTTTGCATTCGCAGTTTGACAATATTAGGTTCGGTTTCACTCAACGCGCATCTCATGTCATGCTCAACATTCAGACGGTTTCTGGCTTTTGTTTTTAATGTAACAAGAGTTGAAAACCAGTTTCACATCTGTAAGTTGTAGCAAATGGAATCAACATTTTTAAAGCTCTGTCCGCTATATTAGGGTATTCTGCAGCTGCTTTTCGCCAAAATGGGCTAAGTTTATCATTTTGAAAATCAACTTTTCAACACCCGCAGTCCGAGAAACCCTACTTTCGCTGACACATCTTCGTCCTTGAAAATATAGACGCAAGTAGAAAATGGTCTTAAAATCCAAGTGTAGGACTCACGACTGTCCATGTTCGGAAAATATTGCTGCAGTGAGTCTATCACGGCAGTTAAATATTGAACCACGGAATTTTCAAACGTGATTTTGTCTTGTTTATTACTAATTGCTCACTTAGTTGTGTAAACATTGACACATCACCAGCTTGGACTCTACGTTGGTAAAGTTCCAATTTGCGCAAAAAACTTGCGATTTTATCCTGCAACGTCAAAATGTTCGCTTCATTTCCTTGCAGTGAAATATTCAGACTATTAATTTCAGTGAAAGAATCAGAAAAACGCATCTTTAGAACAAATGTCTTTAATTTTTGCATAATATTCTTTTTCTTTTTGTGTTCTCTGATTTTCAAAAAACAATCCAATTTCTTCTCGTAATTAGGGTACGTCTGTATGGTACAAAAGAGCATTAAATGTAGCACTTCATCGCACAAAACTTTGAATAATCGTGAATTAGTAGCGCTACCTCGAATATGATTAACAATTTTTACTATGTCACTCAACGTGTTTAGCAAATCTGGTGGAAGCGTTTTCACAGCCAAAGCGTAACGGTGTATCAAGCAATGATAGCCGAAAACTTGAGGAGCAACTTGTTTCACGAGTGCCTGAAAACCAGAACGGATGCCCATCATGGAAGGCGCCCCGTCTGTACAAGTACCAACCAGCTTTAACCAGTCCAGGCCATTTTCATCAATAAACTCTTTTAGCGTTTGAAATACGTCTGCGCCGCGAGTACCTAGTAGTGGGCAAAGACTTGCAGAACAAATATTCCTCCTTTACATCATCATCTTTAATGTATCGTGTAAACACCAATAATTTAGAAAAAGGAACCAACATCTGTGGACTCGTCCAACTGCAGCGCAAACATAGGACTTTCCTTTATTTCAGAAATAACGGTTGCTAGAATATCGGCACTCATTTCACAAATGCGACTTTGAATAGTAGTGTTTGAGAGTGAGATTTGTTTAATCTTAGCTACATGTTGCTCACCAATAACAAGTGTTACTGCATCTAACAAGCAAGGTTTGATGAGATCCTCTCCTATAGTGTGTGGTTTTTTATTACGTGCAATGCGATAAGCAATTTTGTATGAAGCTTGAAGGCATGATTCATTTGCTTTCTGTATATTGCCAGTAGAATCCATACGCGAAGACTTCAGAATCTTCTCCTTTTTCTTACCGTTTACCGTATTATTACTTTGTTTATTGCTATTTTAATACTATTTCGTGCCATCCCGTGTTACCCCTCTAGAATCTCCGTTTTACCCCTGCGGGGGTAATTACCCCCAGGTTAGGAACCACTGCTATAGACGATGATTTAAAATTGTTTCGTTTAGTAAAAATACAAAAATGTGTTTGAAATGAGATATGTTTAAGTTACTGCACCAATTTAGAACATGAAAAACATAATTAAAAAGCCTTGTGACCACAAAACTTTGGCGGGAAATATTACCTACAACATATCATCCATCATTCATTTTATTGACGGGCATATATTATAAAAATCTCGAACGTGTTTTCTAACAGGAAACTACTGCGCTTTATTATTTTTGTCTTTAAGTAGTTGTGTTTGCATATTCATAAACCGGCAAATTTCCCTTGTATTAATCACTGTAAAACTGGTCCTTATACCGAGTCATACATACAAAAATAAGCAGTGACTAACTTAAATTAAGTCTTCGTGAAATTATCAAAGGATTTTTCTATAAACAAAAAATTCAAAAACGTAATTCTGAAATTCTCTATCTGTAACTCCCTGGTGTAAAGAGTTGAAATATGTATATACATATAAGCATGTAGTAGTTGTGATTGGGGATTTCACTGTATTGATTAATAAGTAAGTATCAATAATTGGAAGGAAAACTTCTATTCACTATGGTTATTATTACTTTTCTCTTGTTTTATTAGGTCAAAAATCATTAAAAAGATGCTTCATACATATCCCGTATATTTCATCCTTAAAAACAATATTTACAAATAGGAATGTGGCTCTTATACAGCCGCTTTCATAGTTTTACGCGATATCAAGTTCATGAACACTAAATTCAAAACACGCATTTGATTGCACAATGTATCAAAGCTTTAAAAGGGTGTTGCATAGCTGGGACTTCCTTGGCAGGTCGGTCAGTAGCCATGGAGTTGTGGCACAGATTGGTCGCGTTTCTAGCGGTCACCACCGCGGTATTTGCTACTCCTCTCCTCAACGAACTTCCACCAGGAAAGGGTATGTATTTAAAATTTAATAAGGAATAAAAAATCGATTTTAAGATATTTTACATACCATCATTTTCTATAATCTCGTTGCATTTAGCAGCATGTTGCATGTTTAATTATAATATGTAAAGGAAAATTCTTTGAGTAACAAAAGTATTATCTAGTCATTAAAGAATATGGAAGGAATTAATTTAAATACAAATCCTTTAAGATTTATATTGATAAATTGGTTTTGAATTTGTTTTACAGTGTTTATTTTAATAATCAATATAAAAGCATAATTATACTTGTGTACCTAATACATAAATAATATGTACAAAGAAATTAATTCGGTTAAATGTAAAATATACATCACAAATCAATAAAATCACGTTTTTCCCTTTTCACCATTCTTTACTGATATATGTACAAATGAAGACCGGAACTTGGAAACGTATGCATTTTCCTCATAAGTAAAAACGTGAGTAAAATCTAATATTGAAAATTGCGGAAATCATACTGTTCTGTTTTGATTCACACTTGGAATACTAAATAAAAAATATAATTTAATAAAACATAAATTTATCTTCACGGATCTCCCGTGAACCTCAATATCTCTTAAACGGTTAAACTCAAATTCTCTACAATTATAAAAAAACTAAAACTCTGTGCGATCTTGGTCGCAATTTGTAAAGGCTGCTTTTAAGAAATAACGGCATTACTTAAGAACAATTCTACTAAAGATATCAAGTATAAGCCAACCTGTCCAATATAACTGTTAAACCGGACAAGATCGAGTTAAGCACAAATGAAAACAGAACCTTGGCCAGAGAAAGTCATTAACATGTCACAAGGAACGAGCCCCGCATTCTAATTAACAATCCCATTACCGATTCACACAACATACCGTAAAGCAAAAAGCATACTGTTAAATACACGCAATAAATCAATCGAAAGTAAAACTTTCTTGTTACTTAAATTATTCATTCTAACCAAGTTAATTTACAATCACTTTCACGTATAATAGGCCAAAAATTGTGTGTAAATACTTCATAAAAAATACCTAAAAACAATGTATATTATTAAAGATTGTTATGTATATAATTAACGTTTTAAATAAATATTTTAGAATGGCCAGAACGTTTGTCTGTCAAACAACCTTACGAGCCAGAGAAACCAACAGAAAGCCCAGAATATTATTCAACTTTTTCATCAGATCTCTCATTCGATGAAAAACCTTCGGAAAACATAAATGAAGTATTACCAGCGTTGAACGAAAAATTAGAAAATATAGAGGCCGCTGACAGTACTTCAACTGGTACTAATGTTGAAAAATCAGAAACCATAAATGAAAACTTGCCACAAGTAAACGAGAAAGCCGATCAAAAGAGAGAAACAAATGAATCCCAAAAAGACGTTTTAGGCGTTGCTAAAGATGCTGAGAAAGAAAATAAGGTAAACTACTCAGGGGCTCAAGTGTGGAAGGTCTCAACTGAGGAGAGTAGAGTTCGCACAGTCATTGGGCGGCTACGAAGGAGAAACTGTAAGTACATACCAAAAGCAAAAAAAAAAATTTACTTCTATATTATACTGTTACTGAATAAAAAACTAAATCGCGTTTTTAAGCGTGTTAATTTTCACTTCTATGCAAGGCATAGCTGCTGTATTCAAACTGAATGGACTGAACAATGCTTGTGACATTAATTATTGTCTAGAAAGCGTACTAATTTGTTTTTCTAGATTTACTGTATTCCTTAAGGCTGTATATATGTGCTAGTTTAGAATTACTGTGTACGGTGTAAAAACACATTCAAGGGTATTATTATTATTTCAGTAATCGCCACATGGTCCGGAAACCACTCTTACGTAGACGTTTTTGTCAAGCCCCATGCTGTGGAGAACGTAACAAGGGCTTTCAAAAGGGAAAATATAGAATATGACATCATCATCGATGATCTTCAAAAGCGAATCGACGAAGAAAACCCTCCACTAGACCAAAACGAAATCGAATTGCAGGATAGAAGAGGTTAATAATTGTACTTTATAATAATTATTATTGGAGACTTGAGTTCATAATTTATTTGCGTGTTTAAGGTTTCTAGCGTCACATTTCATACAAACCAGCTGCAGAAAGATTATCAACACGCTAAGATCGTAATCTACAAGATCTTAAATTTGCACATATCAAGCATCCTGCCCGCTTGTTTTGTATGATTAAATTACATAAAAAACCTAGTTCCAGAGTTCTGTGGTCTTGTTACAGCGAAATCTTACAAATTTTGGCGTTACAGGGCCAATCGCCGGAAATTAGGGTATTTAGGTGTCTACATGGGCTATAATGCAATAGAGATGCCAAAGGAATACTGGCCATATGCCAACTGGGGTTCGTTATTGAATAAAAAAGCAACGCAATATTTGTACTAATGTCTAATTGTTCGTTATTAATAGAGACGTTTGTCTTAATGTGTGTCGTAGTGTTAGTAAATAACGTGAAAGGTGGATGTGCAAAAACGTTTTCAAATTAAATATTTTAAAAGGTCAAGGGCGATATGGTAACAAGGATTAAACACCCAACATAAATCCGTGTTAAACTATATGCTAACATTACTTTAAAAATTACTATAGGGTAGTTTCATATTATACACTGTAACACTAGCGCAATAAATATTTATTTCATAGAGATTAGTAATGAGATTGGTACATAATATCAACTTTCAATTGCTAATTAACACAATTAAATTTTTAGGACATCGAATGACGTGGAAGCAATATCATAGACTTGAGGATATCCACGGATTTTTAGACTACTTAGCCAAAACATATTCCGCTATAATAAGTGTTCGGTCTATAGGGAAATCATTTGAAGGAAGAGATCTTAAGGTATTATTTTGATATCCTTTTTTAAGATTATCAGAAACTATTTAATCTTAGTAATTGTTTTCCTTGCCAGGTATTGCGTATTTCAAATGGTAAACCTTCAAATAAGGCAGTGTTCATAGATGGTGGGATACATGCGCGGGAGTGGATAAGTCCAGCAACAGTCACGTATTTTATCAACCAATTCGCTGAAAACTTTGACGAAGAGGAAGACGACATCAGGAATATAGACTGGTAAGATATGAAAACGGCAACTTTATTTAGTTCAAATTTCAAACTAATTATCAAAAAAACTGTAAATCAAACGAGTTAATAGTTGCCTACATTGTTCAAGTAGAATTGTGCGCAAATAGCACATTCACATATAAAAAACACTGTAGATGCTGTTTTAAGTATTTCTATTAAATTATTATTTATTGACTTGTGATGAAATTCGATTTAATGAAGTAATTTTATAAGTTTAGACGACACGTTTCTAATTTAAGGTACTTCCTTCCCGTGGTGAACCCTGATGGTTACGAATACACTCACACCGCTGATCGTTTATGGAGAAAAAACAGAAAACCAGCTGTTGGCAGGCAATGCGCTGGTACCGATCTCAATAGGAATTTCGGGTATAAATTAAATTGTATATTGATTATAAATGGATTAATGATTTTTATTTTCTTGTTGTAATTTATAAGAACGTGGCATCCTCTATTTAAAATTGTATGTATAAACAATATTATTTAAAACACAAGTTAGTGTTGAGTGCGGTTGATTTAATGCGTATTTTTTATAGATACCGTTGGGGCGGAAAGGGTGCTTCAGCCAATCCCTGCAGTGACATTTTCAGAGGAAACCGAATGTTCTCAGAGCCGGAATCGAAAGCTTTGGGAGTAAGTGGCATAAAATTTTACGTAAATATGTTTGTCAACTGAAGGAGCCTCTGAGTCATAGATAAATAGAATACAGTTTCAGAGACACTTAAGTTAATTGATAAAATATAAGTGGTAATTTATCCTTATCTATGGTGATTAGAATAAGTGGTCCTTCAAACCTTAAGGGTACTAATTAAGCTAAGGAAAAGACACATATATATGTGTTGTCATTTAATGCCTCAAAATAATACAATACACAATTGAATTGAAACTAGAAACCATATTATGAATACTGTCTGGTAATCAAAAAGCATTGTTATCAAATTTTTCTGGCTTAAAATTAGAATTTCCTATACCATGAAAATATATTTTTCAAATATAGAATATTATAATGCAATAATTATTCCAGGATTTTATCAAGAATACAGCAGCTAACTTTACAGCATACCTAACTTACCACAGTTATGGCCAGTACATTTTGTACCCATGGGGATATGATAATGTGGTGCCCCCAGATCACAAAACCCTAGATGAGGTTGGAAAGAGCATGGCAGATGTAAGTAATACATTTTAATAAAAGAAAAAGGCCCACATTAAAAAAAAACAAATTAAGTAAGTTTAGTTTTTTGATCATAAAGTTGAAAAGTTGAGTTGTCGATTGTTTTGAAATTTTATAGGCAATAAAACAAATTGGTGGGTCAAAATACACAGTGGGATCATCAAGTGGAGTATTGTATCCTGCTGCAGGAGGATCAGATGACTGGGCAAAAGGGCAAGGAATCAAGTACTCATTTACAATAGAACTGGGTGACACAGGCCGATATGGTTTCATATTGCCTACTTCACACATTGAACCTGTTGCTAAAGAATCCCTGGCAGGATTAAGAGTATTGGCACATTATGTTAACAAATATTAAATTCGTATAAACTATTTATTTTATTTCTAAGGTTGTGATTTAAACTTAATATTTAAGAATTTTAATAAATTATTAATCTTGGACAGACTTTTATTACCTTAAAGGATTTGTTGCCTTCCTTGGAAGCTTCTAAGCTCTTTGACTTATCAACTTTTACTTCAGAAATAACTGATGTATCACCTAGATACGAGGTAGCCGTATTAGTAACCAATGGACTGCTTTTCAGTAAGTTTTCTGTTTCATTCGCTATGTTTTCGGCTTTCCTCAATATCAACTCCACGTCGTCTTCGTCGGTTATTTCAACATGATTATTGTGAGATAGTTTTTTGATTTCATTGAAGATCATTTTAATTTCTTCATCGCTGTCTTTGAGGGCTTCGCAAGTTTTTTCCAAGAGTAGGAACTCCTTATTACTGTTATCACAGGACATTTCCTTAATTTCCTTCGAACTAGATATGGATGACATGTTAGAAATATTTTTAAGACACTATCATAAATATTGTCTAATGTTTTACTTTGTTATACCACATATTTTAATGAAACGTTTACATCTAACAAACGTGATTATTTTGTTGATGGCATTTTGTAAATTCTTTCCGGTTGCTAGGCAACTGCACAGATTACTAATTATTAGTATATAAGTTTTTTTTTTGGAGTTTATGGCTAGACCTCTAGGCCAATGTATTTAAGTATAGCCACCTACCACTGACAGATTATTTATTACTATCACAGTCTATAAATCATACTCTTTAACGCTTAAGATCAAGATATTAAAAAATATATACACCGCCCTAAAATAGCAAACGTAGGTCCTTTATTTTTCCACGCCATCCTAATGCTACTAAGAAGATAAAATAATCTTTATCGTCTTAAATTATATAAGATGGTGGCTCTGGCATGTGGCTGTGTCATGGACACGTTCGTGTGTTATAAGTTATAAGTTTATATATACATATATATGTATATCGTCGCTTAGCTAACAATACCGCATAAGTCAGATTTGCTTAGTTTTCAGGAGAGACAAAAAACTGTATTACTTTAACATTTTGTACAATACATGCATGATAAAAATTTTAATATATTGTATTTAGTTAAGCATGATAACTATAAAAACAAATAAAAGAAATATCGTCTTATTAGGTCATTTTCAAGACTTGAGCAGTTTTACTCTAACAAAATAAAGACTTACGCGGTGTTTTTACCTTTTATATTTAAGCTCTATAAGTCTTTCATAGAAAATTTTCTATGAAAAACTATCGAAATAAAAACATTTTTCAAAAACAGTTTTATAAAACTAATTATTAACTTCAATAAAATAAAAAAAGATTGCTAAATTAGCTTTTTATCAAAAAAAAAAACACATTTCTTTGCCGTTTTATTTTCTTATTCCAACAGGACAACCCTTGCCGGGTTCGCTAATATTATAATATATTATAGGAACTCACTGACTTTTACGACTGTACTGTTTGACGAGATCAACTACTTACCTACTGAGATCAATAAAATTATCTAAGTTACAATGGAAACCAGAGGTGGTTTGCTTTGTAATTTAGGTAATTTTTTCCATAACTTCTAATAATTCTAAACTCTCAAAAACTTTAATAAAATGGTACATTTAACACAAACAATATAAGACAATAAGAACACTTCGAATACTTAACCTACTTCTAAAAATAATACAAAATGTTTATGGATGAAAAATATTTAATTTTTATAAGGTAACTCATGATAATATGCGTGGCAGTTCGAAGGTATCACTGCCTTTAAATCTTGGAGATCCTTATATTTTCTTTGGGAAATTGGCAGTCTTTCAGAAAATAATTTCGGCAGCTCTTCTAAAGGTTTTACATTGGTAATTTTCATTGGACGCTGAGGCAACGGCTGCAAAGGTTCGTCAAAGTTATACCAAATAGTTCCATCTGGTTTATATTTTAATACCCTTAAAACGGTAATAGTGGGATCTCCGAATTTTCTGCCCGGACGAATGGTTTTGTAAATTAAATCCTTACTGAAATTGGTAAAAAAAGAGAATTCTAATAATCGAGACTCATATGGCATTGAGTTATCTCTAGCTGTCTTTGTTATATTCGCATACTGGGAAGGAAGGTAAATTTCTTTTCCCTTTAATCAACATTCGATGGCACTGTGCACAGAGTCGCATTCCATCTGCGTGTGACCTTTTTCTAAGATGTTTTGAGTTATTTTAACTTTTTTATCGATGGATAAACGCAGAAGAGCATTACTTAAGATGGAATTTCGATTTTGTGCACAGCAGCCATCAGAATACAATATTACCGGTAGTAATTTTCTATTTAAAATTATCTGTAGTTGATCCACAATGCACGATGCGAAAACAGAAGCTTCAAGGGAGCCATTTGATTCATCGAACCAGTAGCAGCAAGCTTCATGTGTTGACAAATTGTACATGGTAAAATTGTGAACAGATAAAATGTCTTGTAGTATATGGCACTAGCCTGAAGGTAGGGAGCAAATTTTACTGATTGAACATCTTGCGTAAATACATGACACGTTTTTCCTTCTATTGCCAATTTTTTGTCAGTGTCTTTTTCTTTTCTAGCTTTGTCTTTCCTATCGCGATGTATTGCAATTTCAGTATCGTTTATATTTCCAACTTTATGACCACAGCATACATCGCATTGATCTTTTTTGGGATGAAACAGACTAAGATTCTGTTTTAAGAATACATTGTCAAAAACCCTACGACTAAGACATTTTAAGGAATCTAATTCGCATTTACTGACGTATTCTTTGTTTAATTGTGCCATGGTATGAAATACTGGTTCTAGGTATCGTCTGGATGAGTTTGCTCGACAGTAGACGATGGCATCTTCGGCAGGCTATCTATAATTGCTGTAGACGCTCGTGACCATCAGAGTTCTTTTTGGAGCAATCTACATTCCGAGAAATCTCAGAAGGCGGTGGCATAGCACAATCTGTCGTTATCAACCAGTATCGGACAAACCATTCTTTAATACCCAATGTATTTAATAACATTTTTTCTCTATGTCTCTTTTGTAAGTCACGTAAAGTAATAACTTTTACATTGAGCGTCAACTCTTGAAAAGTCATCAGGCGTGGTATCATTATCGACCATTTTGTCCATTTTCGTGTTCTGAAGTAAAATATAATATAATTACGATATAGTAATCATTAAAAAAACTGCGTAAAAATCGCTAATTATATCGATGAATACCGCAGCAGTCAGAAACTCAACACAGAAGTACATTGTAAGTCATTCAGACATCGAAACCAAGTAAAGAGAAAACCGCCTAACTCAACGAAACTGTTCATTCCAACACCGCTTAAGTATTCATGTTTTTAAAAGCAATCGTATGACGTATTTTAATAGATAAAATATGAATACTATGTTTTATTTAAGTTACCTTACCTTTAAACTACATCAGTGGAGCCAGTCCGTTACAAAAAATCCGCTTTTTTAAAAACGACAAACGATCTTATAAGGTGCGACGTGGCACGGCCAAATTACTATGGCGTTATGATGACTTGCGCGGTGTTAGCGCAGCCAATGAGTTGTGTTGTGTTACTAGTTTTTGAATAACGCGCTCTTATTGGACAATATTACCTCTAGCGAGAGCTCATTAGACGCGCGGGAAAGTAATCTATCGAATGGTGTAAAAAACGTCATTTGGCTAAAATATGACTTGTGCGGTATTGTTAGCTAAGCGACGATATGTAAAAACAAATGAAACAATTCATTATCATATTACAATATAAATACGAACGATCTTAACTGAACTTAAATGTACACCGTAGCTTCTCTTAGTCAAAAGTTATACTTATTGCAATACTCAATACGCAGCAAAATATAACATAACCACAAAATAGCGGCACTTCCCCCTTCACTGTTCTCGATTATCGTAATAAATTATTTGACCCTTCAATTAACCAGTGGTATAATTTAATTTTGATGAAAATGATAGATTTGAAATTACTACACCAAACTTTATTGTTGATGTATGATTTTGTTATGATTAGGTTTTTGGATCGGGGGCACCGTATGGTAGCAAATCTTAGTATTGATGACAAAAGTACAACGTTGGCAATATTGCACTTTAACGCATCTATTCTTACTAATATGCATCTTTAAAACAGAGCAATTATTCAATCAAAGTAGCTAAATTTCATAAATGTCGCTACACGGTGATGCTGTGATATGTTTCTGCTCCATTATTTTTAGTATTTTCTACATTTTATTTTTATGTATAGCAATGATTAAAGTTGCAAAAAGAACGATTTATTTAATATTATACATACGAGTTCTTATGTAGTTAATGGACCCAGTAACGTATATAAATAAAAATGATCAGATAGAAACTTTTACATTTGAGAAAATTAGGATTGTATGAAATATTGGCTTTAACTATTGTTTTTTTTTGTTTGGGTTTAGTATGATCTTGTTTATCTTCTGATAACTACTTCAATCTCCATCTACACACTCAAGCAGAATACTGCTTCAAATCGCAAAGGGCCGTGTTATCTAAAGTTTTTGTGAACATCATTGTGAACTGTGACCGTTACAAGACTGAGAAGACGTGCATAATATGGTTGTATATTACTCTTAAAATCTTGTTTTTTTTAATTAAAATTTAATTGAGTAGCTATGAATGTTCTACAAATTTTCATATCATAACTGCACTATTTTTATAGTAAGAGATCCGACTGCAGGATTAGTGCGCTCATCGGTTATTTTCCAAAAAAACCAAATTTTTATGTTTTGTTAAAAAATTTAGTCGAGAGTGGCTTTTCTATTATTGTACTATCATAATATGTATTCATTATTGTACTATCATAATATTATAATGTATTCATTATTATACTCTGTAGGTTGACAATTGACAGATGACATTAGTAATTATCTTTGAATTTGTATTTTGTAATGAAAAATGCTGTATTATATTAATTAGGACATAATTCAGTTTTTTTATTATATTTAATTGAATAAATGTTACTCTGAAATTTACAGTTTAAAGTACGTATCGTAACAATTAATAGTGGAGCGATTCTAAAAGTGAATTCATTATGTCGGTGCCTCCACAAGCATTTGTAAATAAAAATAAAAAACACTTTCTCGGTATTCCAGCACCTCTTGGATATGTAGCAGGTGTTGGTAGAGGGTAAGTTACGTGTAAAACTTTATTGATATTAATATTAGTTAAAATAATTTATTTGAAAGTTATCATAGTTCTGTTTATTTGTATGGGACTGTGTGAGACTAGGGCTGCCATCCGTCCGGGTTTCCCCGGATTTGTCCTAGCTTGGAAGACGTCCGGGCGGGGTTTAAATTGTAGTCCGGGTTTTCGATCAGATCCCGTTGCCATAATTTATGTAAATAAAAGCTATGGGTTAGGTATTTTATTAACTGAGTAACCTAATATTGGGTTTGTTTATCTTTTATTTAATCCCTAAGAAGGTTAAAAAGTAAAGCAAAATTACTCACTTGTCGTCACAAGAACGATTAAACACACTATTTCATGCAAAAAAAGAGGCTTTCCTAGTAAACAAATTAACGTAAGACTGACGTCAGATCAGGGTTAAAATTAAAGTTTTCTTCTATCAAGTGCGGAGTAAATATATTTTAATCAAGATGTAAGTGAATGAAAAGAGTATTGAAATGTCTGGGGTGAAAGCTCCAAAATCCGGGGAACTTACGCTTCCGGTCCTGGGGAGCAGGTTTTACAGATGGCAGCCCTATGTGAGACCATAGAAATTTACAAGAAAAGGATAAAGCTCTAAAGGGCCTACTGTAAAATCTTGACACAAATGTATAAATTTGTATATTTTTGGGTACGTCAAAGGCGATATTCATACCGTTTTTACTTTATTATTCCATAATTTAAATGTGCAAGTCAATGTAAATAATAATTTGAAGTGCAATATTCAAAATTCAATAACCTAATGCTACATCACCTTGATTAAATACCAATGACCATATAAACCATATAGACCATCTCAATGTTAAACACAAATTATATGTGTTTAACATTGAGATGTGATAAACAAAGTAAGGCCTATATTTATATATATTTTTTAAATTTCAGTGCTACCGGGTTTACTACTCGATCTGATATTGGGCCAGCCAGGGATGCCAATGATGTCTCGTAAGTAAATTTAAAACCATTTTACTTTAAAGGTTAAAAAAAATTCTTTACATAAAATGCATTAACATTATTTATTACTTTCACATTTATAAGTTGACTTAATTTCTGTGCTTTGCGTCACTTTACACTATTACACCGTTATCAAATAAGAAAAGGGTTTCTTAATTTTATAGCATATTCATTATACAGTATACCCTGCAACAAGTAAAAGTATTATGTAAAGCTAAAACTTTGTTTTACAACTATTATATTTAATATTTAACTAAATTACAGTGATGACCGCCATGCTCCACCAGCAGCAAAGAGAAAAAAAACTGATGAAGAAGACGACGATGAAGACTTGAATGATTCCAATTATGATGAGTTTTCTGGATACAGTGGATCTTTATTTTCCAAGGTAACAATTCATTCTAGCCAGTGTATAAAATAAACACTTTCATTGAGAATCTTTTATATAAAATATTTTACCTCATATATTCCCAGCATGTTAAGAATATTTAAATACAAGTGTATTTCGTGTAGTATTTGGAATTATATTAGATTGTATTATGGTCTATGACTGGGTTTTATACGAGGTAGTATTATATTTTTATTTTTAAAAACCATACTAATTAACTAACTGATTGTACATAAACAATAAATTTAGTTTATGCCTAGTGATGAAAATATTGTATAAAGAATTTCCATCACTACTTAATGTGCACATTTATCCATTTGTATTGGAAAAGCATAATTTTTTAAGGATCCCTATGACAAAGATGATGCTGAAGCTGATGCTATTTATGAATCAATTGATAAACGAATGGATGAGAAAAGAAAGGAATACAGAGAGAAACGTCTTAAAGAGGACCTGGAAAGATATCGTCAAGAGAGGTAAATTCTCTCTAATGCTAAATGTTGATATTTTGTATATATGTATTACTCAAAAAGTACTGATATACATATTATGTTTAACTTATATTAGGAGCATGTGACATTGACTCTATTTTAATAAAAACAAAAAGAGTGCCCTGCTTTGTGTAATAATATGTAGAATTTATCATTTTGATTTAGTGAACTGAATAACAATTTTGACAATTATTTCACAAATCATATTTGTCTTTATTCATAAAATAAATTGAAAATGTTTTATCAATTTCATGCAGCAATGTACAAATGGATTGATTAGTAAACTTAATTTTACATATTAATAGTTGGAGGATCATAATTAAAAGCCATATATTTCATCAGTGTCTCTTAAAAATCAAATTATTTTTCAGGCCCAAAATACAGCAGCAGTTTTCGGATCTTAAAAGAGAATTAAAGATGGTATCTGAAGATGAATGGTCAGCTATACCAGAAGTGGGTGATGCACGAAACAGAAAGCAAAGGAATCCGAGAGCTGAGAAGTTTACACCATTACCAGATAGTGTTCTGTCACGGAATCTTGGTGGAGAGTCAACGTCATCTATTGATCCAACATCTGGATTGGCATCCATGATGCCTGGACTGGCAACACCTGGAATGTTAACACCTTCTGGTGAGCATAATTGGCAGTGCCATACTGTTATCTGACGTATCAAATCAAAATATATGTTACAATACTGGCTGTTTTTTACATTACATTTGAAATTGATCTATCATAAATTACATGAGTTCATATAGTCATAGTATTTAACATAATGTTTAGTGTTTACTATTACTTCCAAAGTAAAATTGATATTTTTACTAATAATAAAATAATAAATACACCACAATGTATGAAATTTTTTTTAATTCATTATTAAATAATATGTAGTGTGAACTTAATTAACCTGAATTACTAACATTGGCTGACTGACAGCTATTCTCCAGTTATGCAAGAAGACTAACACATAACATTTGCAGTACATATTCAATACTTATTATTAAAAGTAGTTAATTAAATACATATTGAAAACATAAAATAAATACATTTTTAAAATTAACATAAATTTACACTTGTGTAATTTAATAAATATTATTTATGTATTTTCTAGGTGACCTGGATCTTAGAAAAATAGGTCAAGCCCGAAACACTCTCATGACAGTGAAGCTGTCACAAGCATCAGATTCTGTCACTGGACAGACTGTAGTTGATCCAAAAGGCTATTTGACTGACCTACAATCCATGATACCGACTTATGGAGGAGATATTAATGATATAAAGAAAGCCAGGCTCTTGTTGAAATCAGTTAGAGAAACAAATCCTAATCACCCACCGGCTTGGATTGCTAGTGCTAGATTGGAAGAAGTTACAGGTAAGTGATTTTTAATACTAGATACTAATTATACAGTGCCGTTAACTCATACAAACAGCACTATTTTTAACCCAATTTTTTTACTGTGAATAAATCTGTGCCGAAGCCTTGTAGGAGTCTAAATTATATTTTTGTGACATGACAACACTGTTGTTGACAGTACTCATGATACATACGATATGCAAAAAAAAAATAAAGTATATAATTTTTGTGAATAGATAAAATAAGTCATAGCAAATTATATTAGTTCGTATAGCAGCCACGTCGGTTCTCTTTGCGCATTATGTATTTTATTTCTGTATATTTCCGTAAAAGGAAATTTTAATTTAATGTAAGAAACATTTCAGGAAAGATCCAAGCGGCTCGTAACCTTATAATGAAGGGTTGCGAAGTTAATCCCAGTAGTGAAGAGTTGTGGTTGGAAGCCGCCCGTTTACAACCCCGGGACACAGCCCGGGCCGTTATTGCGCATGCGGCGCGTAATTTACCACACAGTGTTAGAGTTTGGGTCAAAGCTGCCGATTTGGAACAGGAGCCTAAGGTAGGGATTTTTTGACATACCTAACATACCATACCATATTTGACATACATTACCATAACCTTGAGTGTACATATACATGCAGTTAACTTGCTCCTAAAGTTAAGGTAAACATTGTTGCAAAACCAGAACCGTTAAGTCGACGCCTTCCTATTGACTAAGAATCATATAGGTTTAGTATAGCATTATTATTTATTACTAATATGGAAATAGCTGAAATATTCATTCTCTTAAATATGTTGCCATTCTTCTGAATTGGGTTTTTAAATTGCACTCTCTTCCAAATAGTTGAGAATTTGCATGTGTACGCTCATTACTTTTGAAATTCTATTATTTTCAATGTTAAATAATATGTGTTATAAACAAAGACCGCAATATTATAATATATATATTATATAGTGTATAAAAGTATACAATTTTCTATATTACTGTATTATACACACTACAGGGTTATTGTTAATTCGACGTATGCCCCCATATGTATTATACAAAAGTGAAAAAAAACTAATAAACATGATAGCTCAAAATGGGTTCAGTGGGGGTTTTAATTATCGCAAAGATATTTTAAGACACAAACATTTGCTTGCCTTATAGTTAGTACAGTAAATATATTTTATTTAACATCCCTTAAATATAATTAAATGCGCGTCATGCATCACAGGCAAAACGTCGTGTATTCCGCAAAGCGTTAGAACACATACCAAACTCCGTACGTCTTTGGAAAGCGGCCGTTGAACTGGAGAATCCAGAAGACGCTCGCATTTTATTATCGAGAGCAGTGGAATGTTGTCCCACAAGTGTCGAGTTATGGCTCGCATTGGCTAGATTGGAAACATATGAGAATGCAAGGAAAGTACTCAATAAAGCCCGGGAAAATATACCAACGGATAGACAGATTTGGGTCACCGCTGCTAAGCTGGAAGAAGCGCATGGTAAGTTATTAAATTTTTACGCCTAATTTCAGTCAATGATGATGTTTAATTAGCCTCGTTATCCAGAAGCAAAAAGTTGTAAGTAACACTGTCATTTAAAAAAAACAGCGGCGCTACAACCTTCAATGTCTGGGTATCATATTTCTGTATCTGTGATCATTTAATTCCTAGTAGCTAAGTGGGTGATCAGCCTTTTTTGGGTCTAACGCATGCCGGCTTCCTCACGTTGTTTTCTTACACAAAATAAATTGACCTTTACATTCTAGTTTGACATGGCTGATTGTATTTTTAATTCATCCATCATAATATATATACCACTATCAAGGCATAGGATTTATTAATATTGTTATCGTACTCTGTGCTCTCTGTGCCCGTGCACAGGTCTAATTTAAGAAGTTGATGTAAATACGCTATTTCCAATGTATTAAATATTTTGTATCAGGTAACACACATATGGTGGAGAAAATCATAGATCGTGCGATTTCGTCCCTAAGCGCTAACGGAGTTGAGATCAACCGCGAACACTGGTTCAAGGAGGCCATGGAAGCCGAAAAATCTGGCGCAGTTAATACTTGTCAGGTATATTCATTTTGCTTAAAAACCTTTTCTAAATATTACAAGCCTGGCTATTAAGATTAATTAGTTTAAGTTACACGTTATAATAACAAAAAAGTAGGTATTTGCTGATTATAATTTGTGTATATACAGTATATGCAGCAGACATAGTTTTAAAAATTCAATTTCACATACTCAATTACAGGCAATTATTCGGGCGGTAATCGGACATGGGATTGACCCAGAAGATCAAAAGCACACATGGATGGAGGACGCTGAAGCGGTAAATAGTATTTTAATGTTGCCATTATCTCAGATATTTCCTTCTTCCCGCGCTCCCTATCCTATGCCACCTCCTGGCTGTCAGCTGCAGCAGATCCTCCTCAATTCTGTCGATTCAGCGGTACCTAGGCCGACCTACTGGCGAATATAAGTCCCATTGAATCAGGCGGTGTAGTAACCAATTTTTTTTAAAAATAGTTTAAAATAAGTTTTTTTATAAAGTATTCAGTTTCTAAGATTTCCTTATAGTAGTTAAATATTACTAAATACCTACACTTTATGTTTAAAGTGTGCACTATTGTGCCAACCTGAATAGAGACAATATAAATATGTTTTTTGTTACGAAATATTGTATTTTAATAATTTCAGTGCGCAAACGAAAATGCATATGAGTGCGCACGAGCTGTTTACGGGTACGCGTTATCGGTATTCCCGTCTAAGAAGTCAATATGGCTTCGAGCAGCGTACTTAGAAAAGCAGCATGGAAGCCGATCAAGCCTCGAGGCTTTGCTGCAGAGGGCCGTGGCCCATTGCCCCAAGTCTGAAGTGCTTTGGCTCATGGGGGCCAAGTCTAAGTGGTTGGCTGGTAAGAGATTAGTTGACAGATTTTAAAATATTTAAGCGAATTAAAACGTGTATTAATTATTGTTTTACCGCAAACAAGTAGCCATTGCGCGAAGCATCAAGACAGATATTCCGTATTTGACATTCGTTATTATTTAAGAAAAAATACCCTAAAATTACGAGGTATTGACGACGATACGACCGTCTCTTTCCTTCATAGGATAACTGCAATTCGACAGAAAGAGACTTCAGATAAAGCAGTTTTATTAAACTAATTAAGTTTTCATAAATAACGGGATAAAGGGGGTAATTTAAGTGTAGTTTTGTTTTTAGATTAATAATATGTTCTTTAATGTTCATTTTGAATATTCCAGGTGACGTTCCAGCTGCAAGAGGTATCCTATCTTTAGCTTTCCAAGCCAATCCTAATTCAGAAGAGATCTGGTTGGCCGCGGTGAAGTTGGAGAGTGAGAACAAAGAGTATGATAGAGCGAGACGGCTGCTTGCTAAGGCTAGGGCATCTGCACCTACACCTAGGGTGAGATTTTTTATTAATAACACAACGTTTATTTATTAATATGATAAATGGTTTTTTTCTATATGAATTAGTGTTTTACAGAATAATGTTATTTTAATTTGTACATAAATGTTGTTTCGAAAGTAGTCTAAACTACAGCTTTAATGGCTCAGTGACGCACGTGTCGGCGTTTGAAGTTCTAAACCCTATAGCTGCACTAAGAGTATAAAATGTTTCTGTTCTCTCTAATTTGTTTGAAAAATTAGAAGCGCAAACAAAATTGTTTGCGTTACTGAAATTATTTAACTTATTGGCATATAAGTATTTTAAGTCATACATTGGTTTAGACTTTTATGGGTCTTGGCCATTGAATCAATAAAACAAATGAAGAATGAAATCATGGGCGGCCGGTAATGCCACTTTATCGATTTTGGTCTAAGGGAGCGTTCAAGTATTACGTCACGCAATTATTGGAGATTATTGACACCCCCCCCATGTAACGCACCGTAACGTACCTGTACCCAATAGTAAAACGTTTCGTGACCACCCAGTAACTCTTCAGACCTAAAAATTGTGGTTTTATGTGGTGTAAAGTACTGCAAAGTCGAAATAATATTAACAATACCGCGTAATTCAATCCCCGCTGCGCATCGTAACGTTTTACAAACAGAAAAAAAAATTGTTACGTAATACTTGAACGCTCCCAAAGACCAAGCAACTGTTAATTGTTTAAATGTTTCCAGGTTATGATAAAATCAGCGAAACTGGAATGGGCTCTTAACAATTGCGATGAGGCATTAAAGCTATTGGATGAAGCCATAAAGGTGTTCAGTGATTACGCTAAGTTGCACATGATGAAGGGGCAGATTGAGGAGCAGCTCGGACGCGATGATGACGCCCATAACACTTATACGCAGGGGGTAAGCTTTTTAATTAATTAATTAAAAAAATTAACACTATTTATATCACCAACAATAAGACGGGTACAAAATTTTAATAGGCGGTCTTACCACTAAAAGGTTTCCTCCAAATAACGCAGACGTCTAAGCGACTCTCATCCTTGACGTCGAAGGTTCGAGCCTCGGCTGTGCGCCTATATGCGTTTTACACGCTCGTACGGTGAAGGAAAACATCGTGAGGAAGCCGGCATGCCTTAGACCCAAAAAGTCAACGGCGTTTCGGGCACAATAAGATGGCCATCGCCTTGTCACGACATATAGATCTGGTGCAAATCAAAAAGATTGCAGCGCTACATTTTTTCTTCAATAAAAAAAATATAATTAATAATGAGCTACACTAAATATTATATGCAAATATTTCTTAATTACATTTCTAGATATTTAGGTCTACACAGCTACAGGTTTAAAACAAACTAATGGCATTGACATATTAAAAGCCTTAAATATAAGACAATTATTAAAACTAAAACTTAACTATCCATAAAACTGCTATTTGTTAATTTATATTGTTATTTAATAGAGAAATCGCATCCGTGGCCCAAGTCACGTGACCGCTCTCATTTAAATTCGATTGGCTACAATAGCTAACTATACTTTTATAAAGCTAAAGGGATCACAAAATACAATAATATTTATTATGTATTTAATAATAATGAGTTTTCCTTTTCTAAATGTGTGAACCTTTTTGTATATATTATGTATTCCATCTTTGGCTTTAGTATAATTGTTTTTTGTTATATATTATTTATGTTAAATTTAGGATTACAATATAAATTACAATAAAGTAACGAAAACCTAACTAAAGAAAGTTTCAAAGCTTTTGATAGGCATGAGTTTATGATCGTAAAATATTACTATTATAAATTCATGCCATTAAAAAGGTATATTGATTGGAATGCAATTGAAGAAATAATCAATCGAACATTCTTCTTTGTTTTTCCTTGTGTCTTCATTCATATTTATTTTTAAATGTGTTATTCTTAATAGTTGAAGAAATGTGCGACGTCCGTTCCTATGTGGATTTTATTATCAAGACTAGAAGAAAAACTCAAACACGTCACCAAAGCGAGGTCTGTACTCGAAAAGGCGAGATTAAGGAATCCAAAGAATGCGGAATTATGGTATGTATATAGAGTATTTCTCGATATTATTACTTTATATAAACTGTTTTTTAAAGGTTGTGTCAGAATTAAATTGCTTAAGGTTAAAAAAATATTTGTCGTTCCGCAAATAAACTTCTATAGCGTTTGTTGTAGGTACATGTTCAAATCTATCGTAAATGAAACACTTTGTTTGAAGTTGGGTGTTAACTGGCTTTAATTGTTTAAAATATGAGCTTATAACTAAAGCAGGCCATAGACGGACCGCATATTGCAGTCAAGACCGACTGCAATATGCGGTTTGCTCAGGAACTGCTCGAGCGGTCCGTGTATTGCGGATATGAATTTAGTATGGAAACTGCAGATTGCCGTGCGGCGACCGCATATTGCAGTCGGTCTTGACTGCAACATGCGGTCCGTCTATGGTCCGCTTTACACAAATTATTATTAACTTGGCTTATTTAATCTAAGTGACACTTATGTTACCTATAAAGAATATAAAAGTGTAGGCGACGAGTATATTATATTACCATTTAACTTAATTGCTCATTTTGCTCTAACATTTGGTTTGCGCTGCTTATTAACTAAAATGTATATTTTCAATATATATATTATTAGTAACTGAAATTTCATTTTTGGTTCGTTAAATAAATCTTAATTAATATAAATATTTTAATTCACGTATATCGCTATCGCTTCCTTTATTTTTTCGTGGATCTTCTCTCAGCTGCTCTGCCAGAGTTTTGCCTCCGATGGTTACGCATAAGACCCTAATGTCAATTATATTTTTCGCAGGTTAGAAAGTGTAAGGCTGGAACGTCGCAATGGAAGCGCGGAGATAGGGAACGCCGTGATGGCGAAAGCATTACAGGAGTGCGGAAATGCTGGACGGCTTTGGGCTGAAGCGATATTCATGGAGTCAAGACCGCAGCGGAAAACCAAAAGTGTAAGTACTTCTGTCTAAAATCAATGTTTTACCTAATGAAGCAAGGTCACCTGTTGTTCACAGGTCTTGGGTTCGCATACGATACAATGGTCGTTGTAAAATATTAATACTTACGTAACTATAAAGAAAAATAATAATGTGTGCTATTCATCACAAGATTATACGTCTCTACGTGGCTTAGTGGTTGATGTACATGATCGTGGTTTCTGTTACAAGCAAAACAACGGTTTTAAGTAGGCATAGAAATTTAAAAAAATCTTAAGAAATGGAAATATCCCACCTTTTTTTAATTAATATTTCATTATTTAATACTAGCTACCTATAAATTTCGTATCTGGAATGATCATGAGGAAGAATGGTGAAAACCGCTAGCAATTCCGTGTAGTTTTTGAGTTTATCGCGAACAGAGAGATAAATGCAACGGAGAACTGTTTTTTATATAATACTAGCTGACCCGGCTATGTATATTATTTCTATGAAACATTTTTTTTAGTTCAATAAAAATAACTATATGTCAACAATAATAAAAAAAATAGGGGTTGATCGTAGAGGAGTGATTATTAGGGGTTTGGATGTATTTTTGTATGCTGTATCATAAAAAAAGAAAAACAAAAAAAATATAAAAAATACATTCTTGGGGTGGACACCCCTTATCACTTAGGGGTTTGAAAGATAGATAGTAGCCGATTCTCAGACTTACTGAATATGCTTAAAAAAATTTATAAGAATCGGTGGAGCCGTTTCGGAGGAGTATGGGAACGTACATTGTGACACGATAATTTTATATATTAGATATAATATACGTAGAGATAAAAGTTAGACATATGCCCTCACTGACTTTATTGATATTAATAAACCTCTAAGGCAGCGTTTCTAAAAAAAATCGTTCAAACCTTCTAACCAGATATCTCCATACAAACTCACAAACTATACCTCTAGTAGTATAGACAAAAACCTATTAATTTTTAACATAGAAATAACGCTAGATTAGAAACTAACTTTTGTCTGAACTAAAGCGTGTGAATTAAAAATTGGTAAGTTAATAAGGATTCTTTTGTAAACAGGTGGATGCGTTAAAGAAATGCGAACACGACGCGCACGTACTTCTCGCCGTGTCGCAACTCTTTTGGACGGAACGGAAACTTAACAAGTGTCGAGAGTGGTTTAATAGAACGGTGGGGGAAACTATATTATGTCAACCTTTGCTTTTTACTAAAAAAAAATTATGTAGTATTTCATCAAGTTTTATTTTTTTATTTTTATATACATGTGTCTTTACTAAGACATCATGGAACATTACAATCTAGCCTAACTTAAGACTAATAAGTAATTTAAGTCTAACCTAATTTACTAATAAGGATTTTTACATAAGAAAGTGTCCAATAACACTACTTACAGTCTCTATTAAGGGGAAGACACTCTGTTCTTGTGATCTAAAAATTTCATCAATATATTTAAAAAAATGTTTTTTCATTATAAGTATTCATTACAATGTGTAACATTTGGGAACTCTTAAGTAAAAAATCAGTGTCAGGGTTCCCAGCTCTTCAACATAACAAATAAAACTTAATTCCATAACAAATTCTATTTTTTTTTATTACAATCTTGAAATGTTTAAAACTGTTTACAATATTTTTTTAACTAACACTAAAGTTAATAAGGTTATGGAATTCAATGGATTTTTTCATATTAATTATTTATATACTTAAACACAAGAATTTTTAAACAAAGAAACTTAAAAAAAGAAAAACATGGTGTATTGGGCCTTATCACTACTAAGCGATCTCTTCCAGGCAATCCTAGTAACAGTAGAGTTGTCATAAAGGTTTTTATGATACACCTATGTATAAAGTATTCCTTATTCTGCGCCTACAAGCGTTCTGTCTCTTTCTATCGTAGAGTAAAATCAATTTGGCAGAAAGGTACGAATGACTTGATTTTGCTTAAGGACATTCTAATACCTGAAACTAAACAGTTGAAGGTACACCGTAACAATATTTATACAGAAAAACGAAAATCATATAGTGTTATTCTAAAAAAGGTGTTAGGACCGTTTGTATGTTTTTTTTTTAATGAAAAATAAATTTTACAGGTAAAAATTGACCCGGATTTGGGTGACGCATGGGCGTTTTATTACAAATTCGAACTCCTTCACGGTAATGAACAGCAACAGGAAGATGTCAAAAATCGATGTAAGACAGCTGAGCCTCACCACGGTGAATATTGGTGTCAAGTGTCAAAAGAAATAGCTAATTGGTGCTTTAGTACTGAACAAATATTATTATTAGTCGCTAAGAATTTACCTGTACCAACGTAAGGATGAAATAAATTATAATTTCCAAATAGTGAATTTTATTCGATGTTTATTATTCCCAATATTTTTTTTTTATAATATTATGGCAATAGTTTTGACTTTATGCCAGTTTCAAGTAAAAGGTTGGGAAACTACACGCGAGAAAAAATAAACAAAGACATCAAAAGGAAATAAAGGGATAAGCTGGTTAAAAACAAAATATGTACATATACATATTACATCTTAATATTATTATAGATTATGAAAGAAGATAATACAATAAAGGATAAAGCAAAAGGCAGGAATTCCCAATCATTCTTTTAATTTAGTTTGAAACAGTCTTCATAAATTCTCTAGAGGACAAATTGGGGTGTCTATTGGCTGCAATGACTGCCCTATATGGGCGACTTGTTGACCTTGCTACTCTCAACCCTCAGGTCGTGCGTTCGAATCACGGCTGTGCACCAATAGATTTTTCTATAGAGCTACGATGGCCGAGAGGGACCGTGGTCAGGCCCAGAAGGCACCTATTTGTCTATACTAAATAATGGTCAAAGATAAATATATAACCATAGTGCAATACTTAATCTGTAGCGTAATTAGATCGTTATTATTAGATGTACTTACCTGTGAAAAAATCTGAAAATAATTAAATGAAGTACGACTATTGTCTATTTTCACAATGCTTGATTGTGACTGATGTTTACGACCTGTATTCTAAATGAATAGACCTCAATAATCATGTAATAAATATATTTTTACGGTTGTTCTACTTTCGGACTTTTTGGGATTTTATTTCAACAATATAGTATTTCCTCAACAACCATAAGATTTGGCGGCTATTTGTGGTGCTTGATCAGTTTCAGTTCATTAAATACGAGTAGAACCTGAGAAGAGTCAGATACTGACGAAATAAATGAAAATCCTATTTTTTTCGGGTTTGATTCACAGTGAATTATTGGTTCAGGTTACCAACCTCTACAGATCTCAACACACATAAAACAGACGGAGAAATGTCTACTTCATGGACGGACATACTTCCACTCATAATAATTATAATTGACTTTTATCTTAATATAATTAGCTCAACTATGATATCAAATTATCTGTTTTACGCATTGTAAGGTGTAAACATTTAAGAAATAAAACTTCTATAAATAATTTTCGGGTTTGTGTGTTTGAATTATATTCGAGATCTGGCGCTTAGCCAAAATAGAATGCGAGTGAGTGCGCTAAATATCTAAGAGGCGCACGCATTCTCTAATTCTTTCATATATTATGTTCAAAGAATTGTATTACTAGTAGGAAAGTGTAAGTGTGTAACAGTGTTAGAATGTCTCCAAAGTGTCCCGTACCGCCGTTACAAGATATCACTTTATCTTTAACAGCAAGGCAGCTGATACACACAATAACGAAAATATCGACAGAAGAAGATGTGGCTCTACCTTTTACTATGGTGTCCTCATACTACGAGAGTATGGGAGTGACGAGTGATATATTTCAAGACCTACTTAATCTTATACTTACCTCGGATTATCTTGACCCATCAGTGAGATATTTTACAATGAAGCTGCTTCTAAAGGAGAACGTAAAGAGCTTAGCGACAGGCATGTTCCCGTGTCCATACTATAGGAGAATCCTTGAACTGATTATTGAACAAGGCCGCCATTTGACATCTTTAAATATGAAAGGTGTGTGGGTGAAAGACGAACACCTACATTTAATGTACGAAATAATCAAGAACCTACCAAATCTAACTACGCTTAGTATACCATACATAGCTAACGATGAAATACTTAAGTATATTGGAGAAAATAACAAAGTATTAAAACTGCTCGATGTTTCTGGTGAAACAGATATAACAGAGATTGGAATAGATGCCATGTTGACGGGTAATCCACAACTCGCCCAGAGTATTACTGTTGTTAATATTGGAATGTATGGTGAAGAAAATATAGATCATACCGATGTAGCACTGCTAATCCGAAGACTTCCAAATTTAACTAATCTAGGTAGCTATTCATATGTGGGTAAAGCAATAAATTACGTATACAACCACGACTGTCCACCTAATTTTAAAACGAAAATACAATATATACATGATGTACGAACTAACCAAAGAACTATGAAAGCCATAACAGCAATATGTCCTTTGGTAGAAACAATTTACTTAGAAGAGGCTGACCAGGGTGTGCTTCAGCAGTTAAAGGATCTAAGTTATGTAAACAAGATAAAATTAAATAAGTTTCAGTGCCATGAACTACATCAACTATTAGATAAAATAGGATACAAGATATTAACGTTAATGTTATCAGGATCGATAGGTTCTTTCAACTTTACGAGAATAGCAGAAACTTGCCCTAATTTGGAGAGTCTTGAGTTTTACCAATGCCAAACTGCAACTCACGAAGAAGAAGTGCCTTTTAATAAATTGGAACACATCGAAATAATTCAAGGCAACTTGTCGGGACCGTGCCTCAAGTACCTAATGACTTGTACTCCAAAGTTGAAAAAACTGATCATTGGGGATGAAATAAAACTAGACGATAGTGACTTTGCTCGGTAAGTTCTTAGAGATTTATTTTTAATATGATTATTATTATACATTTCGTAAGATAATACGTAAAAGATAACTAAGCAAAAATTTCAATGTATCTTCGTGTGTATTTTGAACTTAGCTTAAGAAAACCCTTCATATTTTCGAGATAAAAAAATAGGTTAATATTATACAACATTTTGTGTGATAAAAGATCTTATGAGACAGAATGCCAGAATGCTGTAATGTACTTGTCTATTGTAATACGTTTTTATATGAACTTAACGTAATAAATGCAATTACTATTTTCAGGATATTACGCCGCTATAAATTTCCCAATTTAGAAGCGATTTGGTTTCCAAATGCGCCACGATTGACAAGGGAGACCGTAGACATGTTAATGGAGAATTGCCCTAAACTCCAAAGCCTGGGTCAGTTGAGTGGATGGAATTATACTCCGGATGACATGATGCTTATGAGAGCGATTATCGCAAGTACTAATACGGACCTAATTCTCTCTCCTTTGGGTATATTTCAACAGGGAACGTAACGAATGCATTAAATAACATTGTTAATTTATTCAAATTTGGGCTTAATAAAACTTCTAAAAATTATTTGTTTTCATTACTATTTAATATTAATAAAAAATAACCTGATCTTGGCTTCAAATTTCGGTCTGTTTCGTTTTATTTTTCAAATAGGCAAGTAGGTGAGCCTGTACCTATTGCCTGACACACGCCGTAGATTTATGGTTTCACCGTACGAGCCAGTGTTAATGCGCACTTAGACAGAAAAGTATTTAGTGCACATCTAGGGCTCGATACTACGACCTTGAGGGGCTGATATTAATATGTATGAATAAAAACTCATAATTTTAAAATATTTTATTTAAAATTAAAAACAAATTACATTATTGACTATACACAATACACATTGAGTATTTAAGGTACTGTTTAACTTTGGTTTTTATTAATTGACCCCAAGATTGCCTTTAAAATTGATTCTACAATACAATGTAGGTATATTTAACACTTTAAATACAAAAGTACTTTATACAACATGGTCATTATATATTTATTGAGTCGTAAATATTACTACATAATTAAAATACAAAATATTTATACTTTATTATCAATATAATTATAACATCAGTAAAATGTCATTTTTATAGACTTGCGATTTGGTTCAAAAATAATAAATGATGACAGAATTAAAATTTTAAATAATAATTATTCGACCTTATTCTAAAAGGTGAAAGAGCGTTTATGTAAATATTTATATCTTTTATAGTTTTAGCTTTTATATAATACGTGTTAAGTATTGCAGGTATTTTTTAAATTTATTTTCAATTTAAATTATGAGACTGCACAAACATTATCAAATGGTTATAAATTTGTGCGTTTAAATCCGATAAGTAACTCTTCAACAGTGATACATAAGACATACGACAAACAGCAATCGAATGACGTCATTGTTGTTAAATATTATGCTTAATTAGGAATTTAGTTACGTTTAAAATCACATAATCGCATATTCACATAGTAGAAAGTGATTTTGGACTCAGTCATCATTCACAAAAAATAACATCTCAGGGCCACCTAAGTAATAATTATCCTTAAAATCTACTTATAAATTTCACTAACAACTACTTACTATTTCTGTCTTTTTTCAAACTTTGTAATGGTACATCCTCATGATCGCTGGAAGACTGTCTTGCTTTGGAAATTTTTTTCTTACCTTCTAATCTCATTTTGTACATTTTCGCCTCATCGGCGCATTTTGTTGTTATTATACTCCTGAAATTTTATTTAAAAAGTTAGTTTCAGATTTATTCGAGCGATGGACCAAAGCGGGAAATATGTGTGTGCGTCGCACTATTTTTAGGAAGAACAATAGCAATATATATTATATAGTCAATAATAGTTATCTTTATGTATTGGAAACTTTAAGAAAACTTAACAATTGTCTAAAATTGACACATTATAGTTGCATACTTGACAGAACTATCTTCCTAAAAATATAATTACTAATAGTGTAATACAATTACACAAAGAAAAACGCGGAAAACCTTCGAATTCGGCGGGCGCGGTTTTTGTTTGAATTTACTCGAATTATAAAAATCTTATACTTGACGCGGGCTAATGCACAAACCGTGCCAGAGCCATAAAGAGAAAAAAACTAACTCCTAACCTCGGAACGGTGAAGCTACAAAATTTTATATATTTTAGTTAAAATAAGCATGGAAGACCTGTTATTCTTAAATTAAAAATTATTTGTAAAAGATTTCTTCTATATACCTACATGATATACGATCAAAATAAGTGAAAAAGTGTACTTACCTAACTAAGTTTTCCTTAACTTTGAATTTTGATGTTATTTCTATAAGTACATCCGACACGATCTTTGGATCCAAACACATTTTGGCGGGTTTATTTTGAAAAGCCGGCGATCGTTTTCCGGTTAAAGAATGCGTTGCCAGTATCCTAAAAAAAAAAAACAATTAACAACTAGCAAAATTTAATAATTATTATTCAATCAACAATAATTATGAAATTGAATACCTTCTAGGAAATGTTGCCAGTAACAAAGTTCTCGTCGCAATAGTATATGATTTCCAATTTACTTTTCTGTATTTGTCTTTGTGTATGAGCGTTTTACCGCTTCCAATAGGAACCTTAGAAAAAATCACACAAGAACTTAGGTATAATTTACAACGTATGTCGTTATTGCCGAGTTATTTGACAACAGTTATAAATAGAATTATGAAATTAAAAGAGAGAAAGCCTTATTTTTGAATATTTTTATATTATCTTTGTTTTTGTAGATTTATATAAGTCAGCTTGATCTATTTTCCATATTTTATATTTATTTTTAGTTTATTACTTTGCATTCTGTGATAGTTTTTAATCTGTACTATATTTCTTTTACGTTTTCAAACAAACTACTAAGACTAATAAAAAAAATAAACAAGAAAAAATTAATATATATATTCAGATCATGCCTTTCCTATGAGAAACTGAGTTTCTTATGTGTGTAAACACAGGTTGTGTTTGCAAACTGAAATTGTATCTGCATGTTGGGTATTCCAACAATATATGCAATTATAATTTACTATAGTTTGTTTTATAAAGAACCTGTTTGTTGGCATTTAAATTGTCAATTAAATACTACATATAATAAATATATAACATATAAAATTAATTAATTAACAATTTACTAATAATAAATTAAATGTCGCTTATCGGTACGTACCCATTCATCTTGTAATTTATCCCGATTATGTTCGTTGCTTGAGACAGAACCAACTGTGCTGTATTTATTAGTTATCAATACATTATCATCAGAACGATTGGATTCTTCACTCCTCGGACTGAGTATATCATCAAAACTTTTTTCTTTTACATTTTCGCTATTATTTAAAGTTTCATTTATTATGGTTCCCATAGTTTTAACCTTTAAATCGTTTATCATACCGAACAACTGTTGGAAAGTCTCTCTGATTTCCAAAACGTTTTTTAAATGTATATTCATTGTGTTTTTAGGTTGGGTTTTTTTCGTTGAATCGGTTACGAAACTTTTGGTATGATGCTGTATTGCATTGTGTTTTCTTTTACGACTCTGGTTAGCGTTAAATTTTTGTTCCTGCAATACTTTTACAACTGCATTGGGCCTGTGTACCGGAGTCATGTTCTTTTTGTTACGCCTTTTTATTGATATTTGCCGGAGGTATTGTTGTAGATTGTTTTCTTTATCTACCTGGAATTGTTTTTAGTGATTAGTCGTTTATGGTTTAACCCAATTTAAAACATTTGTTTGTAGTATACGGTTTTGTACTTCAATTAATCAAAAAATATATTATCTTTTCGTACTTTACACCTAAATATTTACTTACAGCTTTTTTTATTTAAATAAGAATGGCCTACCTAAAAAATTAATACTAAAAAACTGAGTATTATTTATCGTAAACTTTTTCTTTACCCAAACAATCTATACAAAAATCACTTTTTCGCATTAAATCATAATTCACTTCAATCACACATTTTTTAAATTTCATTTTATAAGTGTCCCGATTTGCGTGCTTTACGGCCTATATGCTCAGCTGTCCCTACACTTAGTCGACCCGCAATTGTCTGCGTTGTCACTGATTTTTTTCAATACTACCGACTTATTGCATAAACAAATATAACATGATTTTTCGTGCAAGAATTTTTTATAATTAAAAAATGTAGTTAAGTTAAATAGATACTCACTTCTTCGTCAGAGTCATCAGAATGACCGTTAGATGGTTCCCATGACGAAGTACTCGGTGAGTAGTCCTGGTCCTCATTAGGCAGACTTCCACCGGCTCCTGAATCATTGTGGCCATAGCTTGCTGTGGATTTCTTCGGTTGGCCTTGAACATTAACTGAATAATATTAATATCTACTTTTTTGATCAAATTGTTGGTGTGTGAGCCAAACGAGTTGTTAAATTATGCTGAAGATTAATGAGGTAATAAATATATATACACACTGTATTGTTTTACCAATTTTGATATATAAATAAATATATATAATAACGGAAGAATTTGTGAAACGAGGCGACCGATAAATATCGTATTATATTTTCAAGTCGTTTGTTTGAAATACTTTAGGGATTTAAATTTAAGATAACACATCCAAAATTAATTTACTTACATACAAAGCAACTAGTTATATCTTTGGATAGCAAACAATAAGGCACAATAGGTACGTTAGAAGTTTCAATAAGATAATGAATTAACGGTTTAGACTAAGTATAAGGCTTCACATATTATTTGGCGCCATTATTATTTTACATTTTGGAGGGTGTCGGGTCATGGCTTAATAGTAACAGTATTGTTAGGAACACACACTAAGTACTTATGATTTAATGAAGCAAAAGTAATACTAGCACATAAATCACTTACATTCCTTCCGGTCTATTTCATTTCCGCTCTCATTTCGATCCGTGGATATTGGAAGGCTCTTTGCTTCTTCACTGAATTTAGATCCTGTGCTGCGACTTGTGCTCCAATCGGCTAGCAACCATTTTTCTATTTTACTCTTCGACGACATTTTTACCAACTAATCACGCTGAGAATCGGTAAGTGACTAAGACAACCCTTGTTGGGTTCAATGCATTTTCGCAGGTAAAACTTTCATTGCACCCTTACTGCAGTCATTGTACGCCCTTCTTAAGCCGGAACAATACCGTTTCGCCAACTGCTAACAAAAAAACGGCCTTTTTGCGATCTCAGTTTCTAAATAGATACCCATTTCTACGAATACAATTACTGGTTTTCTTATCTTCTCTTTCTAATAATTGGCGAGTTGGTATTTGTTTATTGAAAGAAATTAATAGTAGGTAATGTCAAAATAAGAAATTTGAATGTAAATATAGATTTTCTTGAGTGTCTATTTATTTATTTCTTAAATTAGAAAAGTATAATACTATAAATGAAGAATAATAATGTATTGCTATTGGTGTATATGACATGTAAGTTGGGTAACATTTTTAAAATTGGGAATAATTGGGCCTACCCACACATATTTAATAATTAAGTTTTCCTATACTTTGGATGCTATATGTGTAAGTTTAATGATGTTTTTAAGGTAAGAATAAAATAATCATAATAAGGTAGATACAATGCAATGAAAATCTAGTTATAGCTATTGTCTTGCCAGTCTAAATCATTAGGATATTTTCCAAAGATTTTAATGAATTTCTGGAAGAACTGAAATGTTATTTTATATTTTTACTGCTATGATTTAGCAATCATAAACGATAAATATACATGAATTTCGAATGAAGTACAGCACAATATGATTGGTTTTATTAGTAAACTGCGATATATATATTTATTTGTAAACTGTCTTATCATCTTTTACGCAGGCAGATACGTACATTTTTTATTTCAGTTAACCGCCTTTAAAGGAACACCACCATTAATTCCTTTAAAATTACATCCAAATGCTAAGCCAAACCGGATCTAAATATTTTAAGACCGATACAAGTAAAAAGTCAATTTTAATTTATAGGTTTTCATAAAACCTCATATTTGTAACCCATGTTTCGGGGGATATTATAGGGAATATGACTACATTTAATTGGCTATTATACCTTTACAGCTTATACTCTGGGTACGCTGGAAACAAAGCAGGGTTGAGGTTAATGATAACTAAGGATTTCTTTAAGCTCGATCAGATGTTATGGATTGTATCATCTCAATCAGATTCGAGGATCGCATTGCATGCATCCGATCCAATTCGACTTTCTATAGGACTTCATAAAGTTAGAACATGAAATTTATTTTAACCCTAGTTGGATTGGGTAATTAAATTAACATCTACAAACGTACCTAGCATAAATTAATTAGGGCTAGGAAATTTTATTTCAGATTGTAATAAACATATAATAATTTGAGGTTGAGGAGTAGGTATAATATTTATATGAGTGTTCAAAAAAATATGATTAAGGTGAAAATATGCATGATTAAGGGTAAGATTCAGAAATTAAGCAGAGCGCTAAATCTGACTCCCGTACGTCAACAATATATAAGTTATAGTCACGGTTCTGATAATTGAAGAGTTTAACAGAATCACTGTGTAAATCGTACCTATGGATTTGATACATTCCGAACATGGATTGTATAATTGGATCGTAAACCACTAGTCATAACATACAACCCTAGTCAAAGAATGACAGATCAGTGGCGACTGCGCTGCAGTGACACTTTGCCTGAAACTACATTAAATTATTAGAGGTGTAAAAGTAACGAAAAAAGCGTACCCGTATGTATTCGTTACTATAACAATTAGTACTCGTTACTATAGTATCGTTACGTTACTCGTTACTTCTCATAAAAAAATCGGATTTACTATTTTGAAACTTTTAACCGTGAGCTTATGTAATATCACAATAACATCGTAATCTATTATGCATCAATTATAATGAAAAAGCAAGCAAAATTTTGGAAATAAAGTAAGTAAACACTAAAGTATCGATATTTTCGAATTTTTCGGAACCTACACTAATTGAAACGTGAACTGTGAAGTGACGTTTGACATCAATGATTTGTCAAATTTTTGGCGTTATGGCGTGTTATTTGCCCATTTGTAGGGATGTGACATTCTGCATAAAAAAATCGATTTTTTATTAATCGATTACTTCCTAATTTTTGAATTAATTTCAAAATAAACACCCTAAATATTTATTTTTCATGGTTTTTTTAAATTAAAAATAAACAATAGAAATTATAAACACAAATTAACGTTTAAGAATAATCAAAATTGAAATTAACTTAATCTCGTTTTGATAGATTTTAGGTGTAATTTGATAAAATATGCTGAGTGTATGCCTTTTTAGTAGCACATTGCAGTATTTTTGTTATCTTTTTAATTGTATGTAATCTTGTGCTGCTGAATAAATTTATTTTACTTTTAAATTATAGTGTTCCATTCAAAGTTGAGTTTTTGTAAAAATAACTGGTTTTGTCGTCCTTTCGATGTTTTACAAAAAAACATCAATGCATCGAGTATATTAATACATCTTCAAAGAATCGAATTCAATGTATCGCATTGTAAACATCGATGTATATCGAATATCCCTAATAGTTCGAGGTCCGGGTTATAAAAGACCAGACATAATGTCGGAAGGTGGCAGATGAAAAATCGACTATGATTAATTTTCAATTATAAAAATAATCGATTATTTTAAATATAAAAATCGCGTAAAAAAATCGATAATTTTTTCACATCCCTAACCGTAATAATAACCTATTAATGTTACACTACGTTTGAGTATTAGAATTTAGAAGTTTAAATGAAATCTTTTCTTGCTGATTTTTATTTAGTTACTCTATATTATTTTGTGATACCTATTAGTAGTATTTATTTTCAGACATGGAAGCAGTTGTAGCCCAAAAATTAAAACACAAAAAACCAATCAGTAAGACAAAGCTTAAGAAAACAATAAAGAATATTGTATGCCGCCCTGATCCTGTAAACTGGTATGTAACTTTATGAAAAGATGTAGTCAACAATGAACAGATTTTGAGTGGAACGTTGTCAGACTGGTTTTTCTATAAATTTTATTATCTTAGTTTTTAGATTAAATTATCTTGTTTACATTTACCTTGCACGGTATGACTGTAATGAAAGTACAAATATGACGATGATAGAAGTATGAAAAAGTTTTTCTATATGCAAACTACATTTATAGTCTACATGTGATGAACTGTCTTTTTTTAAGGCTGTTAGCATCAAAAGAAGAACATTTAAGACTAGAAACAACTCTTCAGAAATATAGGGTGACTTTACCCGAGTTCAAAAAACCTCACTGGAACGATATTAAGGATTTACCCAAGGAAAAAAGACCTAGACCAACTCCATGCAAGTAAGTATTTTAATTATGTAGATGTTCATTTGAAGTATTTTCAAAGTATCCCTCTTCATAAAGCCTGAAGCATCTTTAATAATAGTTACTTGGTTTCTACACTTACAGTCTGATTTAGAACAACATGCCTTGCCTCTTAGTAGTGTATGTGTTAAGTAACAAGTTTTTTAGATTAGTATGCCATTTGCTATTAGTGAAGTAGAAATATGTTTAGTATTGATTATATTAATAATTTAGATTGGTCTAACACATTTAAAATGGTTCAGTTCAGAACATTGGTATTTATTTATTCTTTTTTCTTTTTATAGAAGAGTGGAAGGTCTAATATTTGGCTTATCAGAATGTCAAGAATCTCTTAAAAACGGACTTTGTTCAGGTATCCTAATTGAATCAGATGTGAATCCAAAATTGTTAGTGGAGCCAATAATTGAAGATTGCTGTTCCAATTTAATACCATATATTTGTTTAAGTGGCCTCAGAAAAACAAGTGCAGTGAATTTTGGGATTTCTACTAGTTGTCTGGGTATCCAAAAAGGGTTCTTGTCGGACATACAAAATGAGGTCCAAGTAATTTTCAATCAGAAGTATAATAATAAACCAGAAGTAAAAAATATAGTTAACAATGAAAAAGAAATTACTGAAACACCAATGATTGTTGAAAATGTGAAAGAAATTAAAATATATCCATATTTATATAGGAAAAGCAAGAAGGAAAGAGTTTTCAAACCTTCAGAGTCCCAAGCAGTGCAAACTGTCACTGAAAAGTTGACTGGGCAAAACTTTATTGGGATTTCAGAAAATAAGAAAAACGATAGTAAATCTTATATGAATATGATTCTAAAAAGAATGTCTAATAATCCTAACAGAGTAAAACTAAAAAAATAAATTATATTTGACACATAATTGTTTATTTGTAATCCTAATCTATGTCAAAATAGACATCATGTTACTCACTTCACAAGGAAATGTTAACTCAGTTCCAACCTGAACAAGGCATGTACATTGCCTCATATTTGTTTGAGTACTGAAGTTAATTTTCCCAACATCCATAATGTTGGCAAAACTTATTAAACTAAAGCCAATATTCACAGTCATTCCAAAGACTGTTTTCATTTAATATAAGAGCAGAGACGCAGTCTTTAAAATGCCGGTAAAGTTTGGGCCAAGTGCTATACTCCATAAACATAATATATGAATATAAATATATGAAGTACAACCTTGTTGATAACATAATATATCTTACATTTCCATGCATTGCATTCAACATTTTTTAAGTTCAATTTAATACAAATTAAACATGTTACAAAATTATTTCTAAAATAAATGACTATTGTTTTAACCTGGCCTTATTTTTTAGAATAATATAAATATATAACAATTTTTCACTATTTCAAATAATAAAAAGTTTGATTGTAAATAAACTATGCAATATAAACAATTCTTATAAAATAAATGATTAAATTTGGTACATAGTACCAATAATGATTTATACCATCACAATAATCATTATTGCAACATAACCTAAGATTACCTTATTAAAATATACAGAAAGCAGATGTTATGAGGCACTTTGAAATAGAAAGTTAATAGCAATAGAATAAAGCAAAAATTGTTTAGGATGTAAGATACTGAAAGAAACATATAATTATTGTGATTTGTACATTATTTCTGTTCAAACTTAATAAATACCTCGATATGCTTCTTAGAAGCATATCTTGTGTCAACTCAACTAAATGCCTATGAGACACATTGGCAGACCCAGTTGATGCATTTGAGTCAAAAAAAAAATCTTTAACCAAATATTCAATCATGCTATAATTGTGTCAGTCGATATTTAAACCGCCAACTACAAAGTTAAATCCGTTTGACTGTTGAAATAAGGCTCGATTTACATTCGAAATTGAGATTAATTCAAGGTCAATGTCTCAATGCAACAGATGAGGAAGAGTAGCCTCGCTCGGTCTGTACCGGGCGAGGATTATAGCGCACATTTTCTGGGCATCTGTTTCCTCAGGGTACGCATTCATGGCTTCGACTACCTGCACTTCTGGGAAAATGTTAGCCAAGTGGTAGTGCATCCGTCTACGCGCTTCCCACTGCTGAAGGGCGCCTTCCGAGGCACACGGAGATAGAGACGCTCCGGCCATGTAGAGAGGCATTGCACCCATCGCCCCGACTGGCGCCGAACAAACTCTAGAGGCGGTCGCGTGCAATCTGGGATCACAGGCTGGGTTCAAAGTCAGCTGTCTGGCGAGTTTTCTGTGGGGCTTTTCAGGCTGGTGACTCGGCTGCGAGGGTCCCGGCTGCTGCGCTATATCGAAGTGCGTGGCGAGGGTGGGATCTGCCAGTCTCGGCGTAGCCGAATGCGCTCTTGCTAAAGGTTTCTTCATGTCCGACGGGTATCCACCGGGCGGGAGGCTCAACGTTTGCAAGGCGTGACGCGCCGCTCGCTCCGAGAGCGTTTCGGCGACGGTTTTGTGCGGTTTGCCGGCGCGTTCTGGATGATGAAACTTGCATTTGTTCCCGTAGGTACACTTGCGTCCGTAGGGGCAAGGCGGAGGGGGGTCCGTGCGGGAGGGAGGAGCTCTGAGGAACGCATCCAAAGTGGGGCCGGACCTACCGAGAGGATCGTCGGGCGGCATGAATCTGTCGTTCACGAAGGTGTACATTAGGAGTCTTTCCTCGATGACTTTCCTAAATTCCGGGCTTTCGATGGCGAGATCTCTATAGTTGTCGTTGGAGACGACGACGCCGTCGGTTTCAGCAGCAAGTTTGAGGATGTATCTATCGTCGTAGCAGACGAGTCGTTTTCCTCCGAGATGTCTGCTAGGGGTGTAGTGTAGGATTCTGTCGCGTTCGAGACGTTCTAAGCAATCCCTGTCCGAGACTGGGTTATCTAGCCTTGTGGCCTCTTTGCGCCATTTGGGCACAAAGACCGATATGTCTTTGTGACCTCGTGCTCGAAACCAATCCACGCAGATCTCTATGCCTCGGCACGAGAATATCTCCATGTTGCCATGGCTGAAAATAAAGTAAACTGAATAAGTTATGAATATACTAAACAAGAACATATTGTGACCGTACTGTGAAGCCGGTTTATAACGTAAATTACAACTTTCCCATTATGTATTTCATTAAATTTTGAAAATTGTAATCAAATACTACGTGTGATTTGCAGTACAATACTAAAAAGATTACTACCTAAAACCTCTATATCCGTGTCATGATCATTTAATTCTTAATAGATAAGTAGGTGATCAGCCTTCTGTGCCGGACACAACACGCCATTGACTATTTGGGTCTATTTCCTCACGATGTTTTCCTTCACCGTGCGATTTAGCACTCGAAATGCGCACATAGTCCATTGGTGCACAGTCGGGATCGAACTTACGACCTCAGACATGAAAGCCAAAAATAGCCAAACACTGCTCCAAAAATACAGAGCAGTGTGGAAAATAATACTACAGACGATATATACGATATAATACGATATCATAAATAATATGAATAAAAAATATATTTTTTAAATTTAATTATTTACCTATCTTTACGTTCAACAGTTAGACGTATTTAATTAATTGATAGTTAGTATAACGATTAGCTGACTTTTGATAAGAATTTAGTGGTTAAATTCTTCCGTATTTTTATCTTATTACGAGTTACGTAAGTAACAAGGCCATTATTTACGATTTGATAAATGAACTGATCATGTCATGTATATGTCCAGATTCAAGGCTCACATTATGTTTAATGTACATTAAAATATAATGTTTTCGTGTGAATGTTATTTTGCCAAATATATATATGTACACCAACTATACACCAATTTAAATATTTTTTACCAAAACTTTTTGTTTTTCCCTTTTCATAAAAGTACAGTTTATCTGATCCTAACAATCTTACTCGTTTGCAACGTAAAATACTTATTTCAGTATTAATAAATCGAAGCTCGGAAAGAGAATAACATAATTAATAAGTAGTCGACATACGTTGTCTAAACTTTATTACAAAATATCATTTATAATATTATAAATGTTTATGTAAGTAATGTACACTCAGATTGATTGATTTACCTAAAAAATATGCTTATTTAAAATAATTATTTATAAAAGTTTATAAAAAAATTATTTACATTTACTGCCAGTTCTTAAATCAATGACGTATAACGGACGAGAAGAACTGGCGTCCGTCACCCTTTTAAATCGCCAAGGTTTTATAATATGTTAATCACCTGCAACTTTAAATCATGCTATGACATGTTATAACAGTTAATTATTATTTAAACAGGTATTTAATTAAAAAATAATAAATAAGAAAACCACACAACACTGGAAAAGGATGGGAGGCACTTACATTACTGTGGGAACAACTTGTAAACATTTCAAGGTGAATCAAGGTAGAAATTATTCATAAAATTTTTTTGGAATTACCTCATAGCCACATTGCTGCCATCAATGACTATATGCCTCAATGGCGATCGGTCTGGTTGTGGTTCAGGATTTATCATCTGTAGTGGCGAAACTGTGCGAATTGGCCGCTTGGAAGCCAGCTTAATCAGCTCAGCTAGCAGCTCGTTGCGGGGCGGATCGGGACCCAAACGCATCAGCGCCGTGCGAGCTAGATGTTCTGAATAACCCAGCTTCAATGCGAAGTCTATTTTCGCCTGAAATACGATAAAGAGAGGTGTTATTTAACTTTGAAAGGCTGTTAAATGTATTGTGTTGGAACCTTTGTTGTATTGTTTGCAGATTATGTGTATATTTTTTTAATCTGTATAAAGGAAAGGACCCACAAGGAAATTCTGAAAGGAAACTACAGTCTACAACACAAGAAGATAATGATGGATTCAAATATTTTACCTTGTCTTACATACGCAAGTCAAAGGTGGGTTTTCAGCAAGAAAACAACTAGAAAAATCCTGTCTTGCCAGCATGCAATGGAAAGAAGCATCCTAAAGTTGAGGAGAATAAACAAAATAAAAAATGTTGACATCCGTAAAAAAACAAAACTTACAGATGCACTTGAACAAGCTCTAAGGCTAAAATGGAAATGGGCAGGTCATATTGCTAGAGCGCGGAATAAAAGATGGACACTAGAAATAACGAAATGGACTGGACCTACTGGAAAGAGATGTATAGGACGACAAAGGATAAGATGGACAGATGACATTGTAGAACTAGCGGGGGAAAACTGGATGAATGTTGCTCAAGACAAAGAGAAATAGAAAAATATGGAGGAGGCTTTTACCCTAAAAGGGGCCATACAAAAACGAGACCACTAAAAAATTAAAAATAAATCTTAACTAATACTACTATTAAGGAATGTAAACTAAACAATATTGTTGTATGGATTAATAAAGCTTTAATAATAATAATAATAAAGGAAAGTAGCCTTCCGTGAAGACAGGCTCAAAATATATTGTGTTGGTAATCGAACTTTGACAGATGTATAATCCATATGCTTAAGCCATCGAAGCAGTAATCCAAACCAATAATTGTTTTTTTCTATTTGAAATATGTATCGATTTTAGTAAATTAAACTAACTACTCAACTTATTTGATTATATTTTAATTTTTGTGGATGAACACTGAAGTACACACAATAGTGATTCCCTTTTGTGGCATTAGGCGTATGTACAGTGTACACATTAAAACATATTTGACCTTGATTTTAAAAACTTATTGCATATGAGTGATTTGTAAGGAATAAACGAATATAGATATGGAATAATGTAAGCCCATATGAAAAAATTATATAATACGCGTTAGATGATGCAAGTGACACAGTAAAGGAAATTACATCACGACGAGCCTCAAGCCAAGATATACGCTTTCCCAAGCGCTGCTACAACCCAGTTTCGTACAATTTAAAGCAAATGAAGTATTTAACAAGCTCACAATTCAGATTTCGTAATTCAAGTATGTTTTTTAAACTTGGTACTTGAATCAATTAAATATTTTTGTTCAAATAATGGGACTATGAAAATGTGTCGTCAAATTCGTATAGCTATCAAACTCATTTGCGCTTTATTTCACATAAAAGTAGGAGAGAAATTACAAGGTATTTTTGAAATTCAAGTATTTCAGTCACTTATTTTCGCACTTTTTAACAATTTAAAAAAATCCGAATATGTTTTCCCCTTCGTAAAACAAAAATTATACAGTATTGTTTAGTACTAAATAATATAAAGACTTCGCCAACACAATCACCCAAAATGACACTTTAACCACCACAAAGTATTTATAGACTTTGTTAAAATGTACCTCTGAATTTTACAATTATTATTATAATTTTATTACAATAATATAATTATTATTATTAATTATATTATTTTTATTAGTCCTTACACTGTGCTTATTTATACGAAACCAAATGGATTTTTATTATTTCTTTATTTACAATAAAAATATGTATTAATGCTTTGTATGTTTGTCGGCTTCAAATGTTCACGTAGGGGATATGTGAATAAGGGAAGACTATCCAGCGACAACCTGACTAGAAGAAAGTGTTTGTTGTCTATATATCTATGTGTTATAGTTGAAATAGTGGTTCATGTAATTCGTAACAATTATCAGGTTAGGCTTAATGTATTCTACCTGGTTAGGCGGCGGTGGCACCGGGGCGAGAGTGACGTACTCCGCAAACTCGGCTGCGAGCGTGTCCGACGGCGTCCTAGAGGCAGTGCGGTGACCGACATCCTCTTCACATTCGGAGTCGTAGCTCGAGTCCTCGCCTCGTTCCCCAGCCCAGCCCAGCGTTGAATCCACATATTTCTGTAACAAGCCGGTGACAAATGATAAAAAGGAAGAAAGAAGTGTCCAGTATCGATAACCATTGACCAAACGCAATCTTTCCAACTTAAATCTAAGACATTAAATAGACCTATAGTTGTCATATCCCATGTATCTATTTGAATATTATCTAGGTTTGACCAGTTTGACGTCATGCTCTTTGGAAGTAGATAACGCAATGACGTAAACAATTGTAGGTTATTTAAGTTGACCGTACTCACGGATCTATTGATATTATCCTTAACATTAATTTGAGTTATAATACGAGCTTATCGCTAAATTATCACATTATAAACTAATGCATTTTAATGCATATCAATAAGCATATTTTAATACAGCGCTTTAATACCGCCGCAAGCGCAAGACAGGGTCAGGGGGGCACCAAAGCGGATCTACAGATGATCAATGACCTTTAATGTGAGCATGGTACCGGTTATAATTCATAATTTACCAAAATTTACGAAATATCCTCTCAAATCAAATCTTATTAAACCCGTTATCGATGTAGAACGAAACAAATACGCCTTAGTCACAGCTACATCCGTGTTGGGACGTTTAGATTGGGTTGCCAGCAGACATTTTAACACGCTCATGCCAAGTAAAAGTGTGTTTAGACCCGAATATCCGGCTAGTATAGCTTTAGCGCACGAAAATATTTAATAGAGTTAACGACATCTAGCGATATCCAAAAAGAAATCTAAGCAAGACAAAAGGTACGTTTTTTATCTACGCTGGACAAGACATCGTGTAATAAGTTTATTGACATTTTATTATAACCATTAGAAGGTCTATATTTATTCTCGAGGCTGTTAAAAATCAATTAAATTAAATGAATTGCAATGCGCAATAAACTTGATTTGATCAAATCTCGAATCTTTTAACTTTGATAACAGAATCGCATTTTAGTTGTACACATTGCCTCATAAATATCTTCCAATTTAATTCAACACTTTCTGAATTAGTTTTTTAGTTCTCATTTAAATGTATATCACCCGCATAAACTGTCAATGTATACCTTAAACGTGACAGACTTACATCCTTTTAGCACACTCTGTTTACTACTATTATAAATATAAAAGTAAGCCTACTAGGCATAGTGATTCCTCGAATTAGAACCCATATCAACTTAATACATTGGCTACACAGAAATAATAGCTGGTATTTCAATGTCTGCAAAGTATGGAAGTACACTTGTGCACCGCGGCACACCGCAACCGGATGCGACTTTCTAAAAAACATTGTGCTCACAAAACAACGCCAGCGCAGAAGTATTGAGTATGATTAAATAATATGGAACCTTAGCTGTGACCCGCGTTAATTCGATCGTAATTTGTTATTATAACCTTTCTAGAATTACAAAAATTATTATTTTTTCGGATAAGAGGATTCTAATCAGCGGTTTAAAATGTACTTTTCTCTAATTCTGAAGCCTTCCAAAAATATGTATTCATAAGTGCATGCGAACACTGTGCACTGTGTATATAGACCGTACCGTACTTAAGCAAATTTTTTAACTTAGAATTAAAACCTCTTATCCAGAACGATTAAGAAGGTTCTAAATAGGTAAAATTTTAAATTTGTCTACAATTGAATTATGTTAAGCAACTGATCTTAGTATTTATGTTAAATCATGTTTTGCAATAAAGTATAATATAATCTTCTTTTCGTCTGAAGGAAGGTACCTTCAGACGATAGCAGGACAAAACCTATGACTAATTTGTTTTTGCACACATTTCTTATGTATAAAAAAGCTACGGTATTCTTTATTTACTAATTACAACGAGCATTAGGATAAAACTATAAAAACCCATTGGAAATCCCACATTTAGTTACGCAAGTTTTCGGTATAGTGGTTTGTTTACGTTTTTTTCTGCGGCGTTCCCAATAAATCCAAACAAATTCCATGTGGTCGTAGTAAACGAGGGCATTAGTTAGATGCCGAGTGATTTTGTCTTGTATGAATGATCAAATGAAGTATAAGATACGCATCTGTATTGATATTTAATTAAAAAAATATTAATCAGAATTCGTAAAATATATATATATATATATTTATTATATTTAATAGTTTTATTGTACTGCTTCCATTACAATCAAGCTGAGGCTAGTAAATTTATAAATCCCATAATATAAATAAATTTATGAAACCCATGAATTTCTACGTCTTATTTTGAAGGTCGTGTTATGCCATAACAATGATTTATTATCAACTACCCTCAAGGAAAAACTCTGCCTCAAAACTGAATCCTGACTGGTTATTCAGGAGATAAACATAAAACTGATAATAAATATTCAAAAAATAACGTATAATTTGTCTTAATTTTTCATCGTTCGTACCGTGACAACGCTTACAAATTAGAAGGTTAATTATTGCATCAGCTGTTTCTGACGTAGCACTCTGTAGTTCCGCTATTTGCAAGATCATATCGTTTGAACGAGGCTTGGATTAAACAATTGTACCTTTTAGGTGGTTAAAGGTTACACAGCTTTATAGGACATAATTAGAAATATATTACGTACAAGAAAAAGGTTTGGCTAGAAAAGTACATTATTGATTACAAGAACTAGACAGGGTTGACAAGCCATCAATTTCGACCGGCATTTCTATCGATGCAAGGTTTATAAGGAGTATACTGAGCTAAGATACAAAAGAACCGGTGAACTATACCGACTACCACGTCGGGTAGTTCCAAGGCGATCAAAGAAGCCCTTTCGCATTCTACCTCAGCGGTATAGCCGCAACATGGCATCATTAAGACGATACAAATATACGAAATCCAATGTTTTCTCTTAAATAATAAATAACATAATTGTTTTACCTTGAATAAATACATAATATAAATAAAATTAATTATTTATTTGTAACTTTATAAGTAATGATTTCAAGAAATACTGGAAATTCTTCTTAGTAATGAGTAAACGCAATTCTTTTAAACTATTTACGATATGTTATGGTTAAACGAGGACTGGGTCATCATATTTAGTACTTGATTACTTCCCTTACAGAATCGTACCCATTAATTAAATACAAAATAATATAAACAAAATATAATTTAATGCTTAAAAACATAACAGGGCCTTTAACTTCCAATAGCGTTCGGGCCTAATAATATTTTTTGCCGGGAATAATGAGATTTTGTAGCGCGCGATCCCAATTTTGCAACATAAGCGCTGCGGATATTAAGATAACTACAGCAAACTTACAAAATCATCGGTATAGGTATCGCTGGCACTAATGTAAGATACAAAATACGGGCGCAGATCCGCTGTAATGAGGCAAAACTTTTATAGTTCTGTTTCCATTGGAAGATATAACTTTTTTAACGGATTTCATTACACCCGATTTAGGTTTGTATTCATAAAATATTTGTTATTCATTCAAGCCGTCCATTTTTTGTCAATTGTTTAATTTTTTATGTATCTTAAATAGAAGTGTGAAAAAATTAATTAAGCATGTTTTGAAATTGATCCGAAATAAGAACGGTGCCGTCAGTATCCCCTTAATTTAATCTAGGTAAACATTTGATTGTTCTTATATCGAATTCGCAGAAACAACGTACAACGCTGGAAGTAAACAGGTAATGACGTATTCTTGTGTGTAAAAATTGCATCGTTTATATTGTTGTTTTTACTTTTGTAACAACTTATCGATATAATATACTCTACATGCTAGAGCCTCATTTCCTTGACATAAACGGAGTCTAACAATGAAAGTCAAATCAACAATTTGTAGGTTTTTAAGTCGAATAGTACACCATCTCCGTGTATTCGAAGTGGGTATATTAAATGATCTTAAACCGTTCTTATACGTAAAATAGGTATTCTTTAAGAGCAACAGCATATTCATTGTTTACTTTTCAACATAATCTTTTGCGATATAGGTACACTAACCTTGAAATGCCTGATAGGTTTCGTCGGAGTTAAAACAACTATTATTATGCACAACTGACGCGCCCGAACGCATGTCTAGTAACGATAAAAATGTTATTGTTATAATATATAGATTATAATTATGAATAATCCTAAACTATATTTATATTTTATAATTAAGAAGCGCAAGACGACAAAACGTTTTCAAGAAAATATAGATAAGAAGCTAAGGTTACCGGCATAAAGTAGCAATATCTATCTAAACTAGTCTAACTTTGGGAAATTTTGCTGTAGCAAAGCCTTTTCAATTGTAAATATTTTAAGCATATTCCTAATGAAATACATTTTGAGAAAACCAACATGTTTGTCCAAACCCACCGCAAAGTCCAATAACAATTCTTAAGGCTAATTACTCTCAGATAATTTAATGTCACCGATCATAACACTATCACATCAAAACTAATAAAAAAATTGTAATAAAAAGGTAATGTATCTGTATTGTTCATATCGTTCTATTTACTATTGGAGAAATTGTATCGCACGTTTAATAGATAAAGTCTAACCAATGATATAGGAGCATTCGGGTATCATCGTGTCGTGCGATGTTTCGTCATAACAGGATGCGGTGCGCACGCGACATACTTACACACACATCCTACACTTATTAAGATTTCGCTGCTAACAATTAATAAACTAAAAAAATATTTAACGACAATATCTTTATTCATTATGTTATTCTGGTAACGTTTTTTTTTTTGGACATATGTAAGAATAGCCGAAATGCTAGGCCCTAATCACTTGATTAGAAATAATTTTTTATCCTTACTTTTAGCTTTGTTTTCCAAAAGAAAAGTTTCTTTGGACATAATGGTAAATTTTTATTGTTCTCATTGTATGTGTCAACAATTAATTTATTTTAGTTACGTTTTAGATTTTCCTTGTTTATTTCCCATCATTTACGTAGACCAGTTTACGATTCATTATCATAGATGTTTAGTTTTTACGTTACATATTATACAGAAATCAGTCTTGGTATAATTAATAATGTACTATTCGACACCATAATATGATTTTACATATAGAAATGATCGATTATCCTATTGATAGTCCATAACAATAGAAAATTCATCACCGCGTGATTATCAAGTATTTAAAATTTTCAACACCCATATGATTAAAAAGAAAAATTAATACAATGATGTTGACAGTTTTAACAACTATAACCTAACATAAAAATATGAAGATCGTTAGTTATGATTTGTAAACTTTAAAAACGTTTCACAGACCTAATTGAAAAGACTCATTATTTCATAAGTCAGATAATTTAACGGAACTAAGATTAGACATATTAGATAGATTCATATACGAATTTGAAAAGTAAATACAGTATTACCTATCTAACAGCAACTGCACCATGTCGGCTTTAGCAAAGGCTGTTTACTATAATCATAGTTATGGACCTACTTTATGAACTACGATATCCGCGAAGAAATTTTCATAAATTATGCCAAGCGGAGCTATTAGATTCAAATCCGTGATCGGACATAGTGGATAACGGGTGAATATAAATTACTGGAGCTCGCCGTAGACTTTCACTCACCGTTTATATCCGTACAAGCTACCTCTACCTCTGACACTGTTGAATGCACTATCAGTCTATAGGTGGCCCAAGCAAAAAGGCAGATACCTACGTTGTTTCATATTTGTTTACATTACAATTAGAGTTGCACCAAAATTTTATATTTACGTAAATATTTTTACCCATGTAGTACTACTACTGTGTTACATTTTTAAAATATGCGTCGCAACTAGTATTACTTATTTTTTGTCGCTTTAAATATAAAAGAATAGAAAATTAGATTGTTTCATGAAAAATAATTTAAAAGGAAGGAAGGAACTTAAGGAAGTAGAACTGAAGACATTTAACAGATAAACCAGATAGTTACGGAACTTCAATAAATTACTTTTGGTGATTTATATACTCAATCAATGTTAATATGTATTAAAATAATAATATAAATTGTATATCATAACTTCCAATAATGTATTTAACAAAATAAAAAGTAAGTAAATGATTAAATTGGTTTCAATTGCCTACGTTTTATGTTTCCGTTAACAAGGCCCAAGGGCCATAACTCAAAACTTTTGAGTTATGACAGGAGATATTAAATAAGATAACATTCAATATAGTAGTATTTCTTTATTTTACTGAAATACGGAAATACTCTAAGAAGAATGAAGTATTTAAAGAAGAGGATTTGTCTGCACCTTGTTATGAATGTTAAGCTATCTTAATAAAATCATTGTAAATAATTAAACCGGAGTTGACAGAACAATTGCACTTTCATAAGAATTGAAAAGGACACATAGCATCACGTATAACGTTAAATGTTGACGACAGTAACACTTAAAACCTTAACCAAAATCACTGGGCTATTTGGTACACAGAACAATTAATTCATCATCAATATTAACAATCTATTGATGTTTGAGCACTTCGCAATAATTAGCATAGTTTGTGACGTTGAAACTAGCTATGCTTCCGGGTTCGTATAGCATTGAACGGACATTATTCCCGACTTAAAATTCTTGCAATATTGTGTGACGTACAAATTGCATTAGTCTAAACGCACTGCTCACCTGGGAGTTGTCAATCGCGTACATAATAATTGCGTGCTACTGTGCGCTTTTGCCGCACGACATGGCTCGTTTGTACGCGGCCTCTATCGCGGCAAGACTAGTTTGAAGAGCGATCGCACGCGGCGAATACGCACACCTCCACGCACGAGTGAAGGGGAAGCGGGGCAGTCGAGATCCGGGTTTCGCGCCCACTGCACCAGGCGGCCCCCAAATAATGCCTGACCTCTGTCACCCAGCCGAAGCGCGCATCTGCGAGAATCTGCTTGGCTTGGGCTTGGAAGCAGCGTTTAAAAACAGGATAGAAGGATTCATTGTCGCATTGAGTAAATCTTAAATATTCACTTTTATTAATTAAAATGTATATATTTTAAAGCAGATTTACGTTTTTGCATGAGTTTATTGTTGTTTTCATCTTCATATAGAATGTAACATATGTTATTACCTTCTCGGTTCTTCTGAGTTGATAATTTGTAGATTTTTTTAAATAAGAAATCTATATTAGTGTGTGTGTGTACAATACATATTTATTGATTTACAGTTCAAGGTTATGAGTAAAATTGTTGTAATTATAATGTATTTTCTATAAAATATAAAATAGATATTAATACACTTATCAGAATATAGCTACTTTAAGGGTTACATATAAGAAAACTTATAACAAATATATGATTAATTTATAATTACTAAGTGCTAAAGCTAGGACTTACAAAATCAAGGCAAATTTTTCAAATTAGATATAGTTTGTTTATATAAAATGGACCTTCCCTCTAGTAAAAAAGGATTTAGAGAATATTCTCTCTGTTAGCTTTTATTTGTTTACTTCCGCTTACGGTAGAAAGATCATCATCATCAGGAGGTAAAACACCTTAATTCCAAATTTTCCAGTTTTAAATCATGTTATAAATCTAGGGAATGAAGGTATAGTTTCCATTATTCTTTTATTTTCTAAATATTGTTGAGTTGTTAAGGTTTTCCATAACTGTACCTCTTTTCTTGGATACAAGTAGAACAAAAATCACACACTTAACAGATTTCTTAAGTATTACTAATAAAATTTATATACATAAAGTTTATAACCAAAATAATAATTCATTACTAATCTTACCTGAATTCTGTCAGTTAACTCTTCATACTTGAAATTCTCGTTACCGTGGTTTAAAATAAAAGTTACTTTAAAATTAACAAAATTATTTTTAGGACTAGGAAACCCAGATTTAATTTCAGAAAGCTTGACGTAGTAGAATGTTTCTACTAACTTGAGATATTTGTTATAGAATTCCGGTAAAGAAGATCGAGGAACTGATATAAACAAATCTGAATCGTTTGACATAATTTAAATTACAGCGCCACAAGATATCTAATCAATAATTTAATTGCATAATGTTTATCTAGACACCAAATAATCCTAAAGTTTATTATTGCTTTTTCTACCGATATGAAAATAAATAATAGTATTTGGCCGTCCACAGTCCACACTGTTCATAGAACAAACGACAGAAGTCAAAACTAGACAGTTCAAAAGATTTGACGTCGAGAACTGTCATTTTCAAAAAAAGTATGTGTGAATACAGTAACAATACAAAAATACAATAAAAATTAAAACAAAACATACAATAAGAACTAAAATAAAGAGGCGGTAAGATGGTACTGGATCTATGGAGAAAAATCACTACGTTTCTCAACAGTGTAGTAATAGAGTATTAACCTCTCATAGCCACGCCATGTGATAGTATCGCCAACCAACTGTCAAAAAACTGTCAAACGTCGATTTAAAGACGAATTATAAAAATCTCATACTTGACGCTGGCTAATGCACAAACCGTGCCAGAGCCATAAAGAGAAAAAAAAGGGCGCGTGTATAAAAAATTGATGACAGTGAAATTTTACGATGCGCGCGCACCGTGACACAAAATTAACAGAATGAAGTTGCCCACGGAAGATGCTACGGCATTGGACATAATTTAAAAACAACATTCGAATAATAATAGAATTTCTGTTACACTTATTGTAATTTTTCAAATGTAAACTGAACTTTATTGACTACAATGTTCAAGTAAGATAATACAATAAAGGATAAAGCAAAAGGCAGGAGATTTTAGTCGGAAACTGAACATGAAGTGATTGTAAGGAATTCAGAAAGGAGGTTCGGTCATATTGGGAACAAGAAAAGAAAATATGGTCGAGGTCACCAATATCTTCTCCACACTCACAAATATTACTATCAACAATACGAAGCCTTGCTAAATGATGAGGTGTACAAACATGACCTAAACGCATCCTGGAAATGATAGAAGTGACAGTTTTAGAACTTTTAACCTCAAAGAACCATGGTTTACTGGGGATCCTGGGTTGAATTTCAGCATAATGTTTGCTTTTGAACTTGCTGTTTCTCAACCAAACATCATTCCATGACTCCCAAAGATGGATTTTGGGAAGAGCAGCTAAATCATGACAATAATTAATGTACGGGACTATGTCTCCATCCTTTGTAGCTTCTTTAGCAAGCTCATCGGCTTTCTCGTTTCCTTTAATCCCACTATGACTAGGAATCCATGCAAAGATAACGGTGTAATTTCTTTGAGAACATATTAAAAGCTTATCAGTTATCACGTATTTCGCAAATAAAAGGATAACAAAGTTTCCTTTGGAAAGGAAATTTTTCATGAGATTGTACCTAGCGCACTTTTTTAGTCTGAAAATATGATTGCTTTTTTTATTTTTATAAAATTAATAGTTCTAAAGCTTTTAAAAGAGCAAAACACTCTCCAGTTAAAACCGAGGATTCAGGAGGAAGTTTAATCTTTTGAATTATTTTATGTTGCCAATGAATTACACCAACTCCAACACAACCATCAACAGAGATTTTAGAGGCATCTGTAAAAATATAATCCCAACCTTCCCAATTTTGTTCCTCCACGCTACTCATGAAACGAATTGTTTCCAGAATATCTTGCTTGCGGACGCCTATATAACACAGGGTGCGTGTTATATAGGCGTCTTCTTTTTTATCTTCCAAATAATTTGTGTCGGCTTTTATCTTCCAAATAATTTGTGTCGCATAGCTATTTGGTTATTTATCCATACATTGTGGAACAGACCCGAAGACTACTTTTAAACATGCGCCATGTAACGCGAAATAATTGTAATTTAGTCAGCTACAACACAGGGGCTCCCTAGTCTTCGGGTTCACAAATCACAGGTGTCAATCGGCGTCCCCAAAGGCTCGAGTCTCGGGCCTTTTTTATTTCTGATTTACATAAACGACCTCCCATACTTTGTCAACGGAGATCATGAGATGGTATTGTTTGCTGACGACAATTCACTTCTATTTAAAGTGAATAGGAAAAAAATATTATTGGACGATGTAAACAATTATTCTATATCTCGTATAGTTAACTAACTACTTAATGAGAATAAAACAAAATGTCTTAGATTAATTACAACTAGGTACTAGCTTAAAGCGAGATATTGGTAAATTGCAAGTTTAGAACAGTGAACTAAACTTTGTTGACAAAACTGTGTTCCTAGGCTTAACAATAGGAAACTCCAGTGGGGCCCACACATAGAGACTTTCGAATAGGCTGTGCTCTGCAGCATACGCAGAAAAGAAAATCAGACAGATTACTGAACAGGACACGGCTAAAATTGTGTATCATAGCTACTTTTACAGCGTTATGTCCCACGGTATTCTACTGTGGGGTGATGCTGCAGAGGTTCAATCCACATTTGTGCCGCATAAGCGGGCTGTTCGGGAGATTTGTTGAGTTTCCCCAAGGGAGTTGGTACGGAATAAGTTTAAGGAATTAAAATATTATGACACTATCTGGTATTCTCAAAGCCTAGTTGTATGTACAAACAAATATAAATAATTTTAAAATAAATGGTGACTCACCAGTATAATACTCGAAACAGAACTAATTTAAGCATACAACTTGCAAGGTTCCAGAAGATTAACCACTCTTTATATGGAAATTGTATTCGTTTTTACAACAAAGTCCCAAACAAAATTAGAGAATTATCATTGAATAAATTCAAAACTCTTGTTAAACATTATTCACTAAAGCTTTTTATAAATTTGATAATTATTAAAATGATCCTAATCCTTGGGATTGATTTGCTCCAGTTAAAAAAATTTGTAAAACTCAAAATTTGGTGATTAATTATAGTAGCGGAGAGTTTCTTGCCCGCCTTATGCCCTTGACTTGCAAACTGGCAGTAAATATAAACTTAGAATTAATATAAAAAAAAATCTTTTTTATTTCATAAGTGTACTTGGTTACCTAAATGAAATAAAGTTATTTTGAGTTTAAATAAAGTTTTATTATTATTGAATATTGAGTTTTTCCTTATACTAAAATTCATGGATTTCTGCTTATCAGTTGCACCATCCCACCATAGCCAGTGATTTTCAGTCAATTTATTTTTATATAAACATTGCTGGTCCATTTGTCACCATTCAATTTATGTGTCTGCTTTTACATAGGCCGTTTTTTTATATTTCATGATAGAATAAAAAAACACTTATGTTGTACAGGTAGCTTTTATTAAAAGAGTGCCAACTTAAGTTAAAGCCATTTAGATTTTGTTGAAGGCAGCAATATCAACAGATTGGACAAAGTCTTCAAAGTCTTGAATCTTTTCAGTTAACAAATCAACTGATACTTTGTCATCCTCAATAACACTCATAATCTGTAGCTTGTTGATACCATAACCAACTGGGACTAGTTTAGAAGCACCCCAGAGAAGACCATCCATTTCAATTGATCGTACAAGTTTTTCCATTTCCTTCATGTCTGTTTCATCATCCCAAGGCTTAACATCCAGAATGACAGAGGATTTGGCAATAAGAACAGGTTTCTTTGATTTTTTGTCGGCATAGGCCTTCAAACGCTCTTCTCGGATTCTGGCAGCCTCAGCATCCTACAACAAAACGATATCAGATTACTGGGCAGGAATGGAATTTCTATTGACAAAACAAGTTCCACCTATAATTCCATAGTAGTTTTTTAAATATGTATGTGAAGTAATGAATGTTGAAAAATAATAAATACATAAGTTTAAAATTACCTAAAAAATAATCAATACCTTTAATGTTTATTTAAAATAATAAGTTCTGCTTTTATTTTTCTAGCATTAGGCTATATAAAACTGCAGAATTTACCTCTTCTTCGTCTCCAGACCCAAATAAGTCAACATCATCATCATCATCATCTTTAGCAGCTGGGGCAGTTGTGGGCTTACCACCAGCCTTTAATGGGCTTACTCCTTCAGCCCACGCCTTCCGCTCCGCTGGAGTGTATGAGGCAATGTGGTTGTACCAACGGAGAGCGTGTGGCAGGCTGGCGGCCGGTGCTTTGCCTGCTTCACTGAATACTTGAACATCAGCTTGAGATGGAACATATCTGTGAAACAGTTTAAAAATTGTAAGTACCTGTTTTTGTAATAAAGATATCTAGATGTTCTTTTTATAAAATCGTCTTTTAAAGCTTGAAATTTGATTGCGTTGACGTGGAGAAGTAACCTTTAAAGGTTAGAATTTTATTTCCGTCAAGACTTACCCAGATATGTAACTCCTTTCAGCCAAATATTTGTTTAGTTCACTTAAACCTTGTGCGGATTTAACGTCTCCGAAAGCCATTTTTTTAAAGTAGTATTATTTCTAAAATCTAAGCACCACACCACACGACCCAACTTGAGTGAAGGAAAAAGTTGAAAGAAGACAGAAGTAGGAACACAGACTAGAAGAAGAGTTGCCATCTTATACCTATTACATACTGATAAGTATCTTTACGCAAGATATTTGCGAATTTATTTAGTGTGGTGTATTAAATAGCACATTATTTAACTTGTAGCATAATTAATAAATCAATTATTATGTTTAGATAATTAAAAGTCATCTGTGTGATGCTTAATCTTGACATAGATTTACGGACGTTTTGTCATAGATTTTGTTGACTATTGACTACGCATAGTGAGAGATTGTGACAGCTGTTCATAATACAAAATACAACAGTGATCTGTCATTTTGTTCATAAAATTTGGCAAATTTTACAGTAGGTTTTCATTTATTAAATAAGAAATAATTAATTATTGTTTTAAATATATTGCATTATTCTAGGACAAAAGTGTATTTGTGGTTTTGCAAATAAATAATTTGTTTAGGTTAGAAGCTCGTACTTATGTAACCATAACACAGCTGAAAGATTCAATACTTGTGGCTAACTAGAGTAATGCGCAATATTTTTAGGTTTCATCCTCTTTAAGCACTTAAATTATACAATAATTAGTTGACATATATTTTATATTTTGTTAAATTATCATACTAAATGTGGTTGTGAAGTGTCATTACTTAAGTAAAGTATATTTCTACAGCAGAAAATGCTGCGCCAACCGCTGTCTAGGGCGCTTGCATTGAGCTCCTCAAGCCGCATTACACCCCTGGGAGTTCGAAGATATGCAGAGGCACTGGCTCAACCTGAAAAGGTTGAAGTATTCATTGATGATAAACCCGTTTATGTGCCACCAGGCACCACAGTGTTACAAGTAAGTTGAGTATCAGTTGTAAATTTATAATTGTTATTAATAATGAAAAATAAGTTTGGATTTAATAATTCGGGCGACATAATTCTAAATCACCTTAAAATCATTTTAATCTTACAAAAATTAATTCAATAATTTTTTTTAATAAATATTTTCATATTTATTCAATTTTATCATCTAAATTCAATTAATGTAACTTTCTTTAAGGCTGCAGCAATGGTTGGTGTAGAAATTCCTCGTTTTTGCTATCATGAGAGATTGGCTGTTGCTGGCAACTGTCGTATGTGTTTGGTTGAAGTGGAAAAATCTCCTAAGCCTGTAGCAGCATGTGCAATGCCTGTCATGAAGGGAATGAGGGTCAAGACTACATCTGATCTAACCAAGAAGGCTAGGGAGGGTGTAATGGAATTTCTTCTTGTTAATCACCCATTAGATTGCCCTATTTGTGATCAGGGAGGCGAATGTGATCTTCAGGATCAGTCTATGGCATTTGGCTCTGACAAGAGTCGTTTCACTGACATTCATTTTTCTGGGAAGAGGTAACAATATTTTATTTCAAAATACTTATAAATTGCTGTCAAAACTAACCAAGGGAGTGAGAAGTAACATGAAAGAGAAAACTATGTTTTTACATCAATTGTTATTCATGTTTGCCTTGGGAGTTTAAATGCTCTAGGCTGATCAATTAGTCTTTAAATTTACTGCCTCCCAGTTCTGTATGTTAAAACAAACATGTTTTTAACATTATGTTACTAAATTATTTAAAGTCCTTTTGGTCATTATAAAATGTAATCATTTTAAAACTAAAGATTTTGTTCAAGCCTATCAAATTTAGTATGTAATCTGAAACAACAGTATATTTCAGTCAATTCTTATATTATAATCTGTAAAATTGTATAATTTCAAATTTAATCCTTAATAAAAAATCCACGTAAAACAGGGCTGTTGAAGATAAAGATGTTGGTCCCTTGATTAAAACAATCATGACACGTTGCATACATTGCACACGGTGTATTCGTTTTGCCTCAGAAGTGGCTGGTGTGGACGACTTTGGAACAACAGGGCGTGGTACAGACATGCAGGTAACTTCAAGCGTATATAAATTATGTGTTCTTTTATTACACATTGTTTTATGTACTTTTAGACACCATCTTTCCTCGTTACATAGTTAACCAAGGATTTTTGTTTTAAGGTACATCTTAATATAATTACGATTAATACTGAATTTTTTACCAGGTTGGCACATATGTAGAGAAAATGTTCTTGTCAGAGCTTTCAGGAAATATTATAGACCTGTGTCCGGTTGGTGCTTTGACATCAAAACCATACAGTTTTGCAGCTAGGCCTTGGGAAACTAGAAGAGTGAGTATTTTGTTAAAAACCTAAAGTAAAACTTTTTTATGGACATCTATTTTAAATATTTTTTTTAAACTGGCTTTCAACAAAAACAAGCTACATAATGAATTACAAGCACATAAAAATTCTCAGACTTATTGATATTTAAATGGACCCTAAACTTAACTACTACTACTAAACAATCTTGTAGACTCATTCGCTTATGATTTGATTATGTATTTTAGATTGATTCAGTGGATGTTCTAGACCCACTGGGTAGTAACATCGTAGTTGCGACACGAACCAACGAAGTATTACGTATTTTACCAAGGACCAATGAGGTGACTTTTTAAAAATTATTCTTTAAACACGTTAAAATCATATAGTTTTATTTTTTTTTAAAAGCCAAACATTATTTATTCCACAATAATATTTATGTCAGACCAACGAAACAAAGCTGGGCTGTTTAATACTTTGTAGTAAATAAATTGCAGTTCAAGAAATGAATACCAGAAAACATTTTTGTGGAGTTGATGATTTGATATTATTTAATTTTGTTACGTAGGAAATTAATGAGGAGTGGCTATCAGACAAGTCAAGATTTGCCTGCGATGGCTTAAAGAGGCAAAGGCTGGTAACCCCAATGGTAGCTGACAGCCGTGGTAATTTGACCCCTGTTGAATGGGAAGATGCTATTGTAGCAGCTGCGCATGCTATCAGAGACTGCCCACCTAATAAGGTATTTTCTGTCAAGTATTTGATAGTTATTATTTACCTATTAGAATTTGTTTAGTTTAACAAATTATGGATAAATATTAAGAATAGTAAACAACTTTTTTGCTTATTCAAAAGTGTTTTTTCTAGTTGGTAGCGATAGCTGGTGAATTGGCAGATGCAGAATCACTAGTGGCCCTGAAAGACTTGGTGAACAGATTGGGCGGAGAGAACGTTTGTACGGAGCAATATTTCCCCATGGAAGGGTCTGGTACCGATTTGCGCTCGTCCTATCTGCTAAACACTAAAATAGCCAGTGAGTTATCATTAAGTTTAATTAAGTTACATTAAAGTTAATTAAATTCTCCAGATTTTTTTCTTGTTTCGTTATCTAAACTCAAGAGCTGTCACATGATAAAAAACAATTACAGATGTGGAAGACGCAGACTTTGTGCTACTTATTGGAACAAACGTACGGTTCGAAGCACCGCTCCTGAACGCACGTATACGTAAGGCGTTTATACACAAGGAGACCGATGTCGCATACATTGGCCCCAAAGTTGACCTTACTTATGAATACACGGTAAGGTGTTTTAAATGTATGTATAATTGGTATGTTCTTGAAAACATACCAATTATAAGACTGGAAGAGATCTCTTGTTAGCGATAAGGCCGCCCGTTGCATCCCTTATAATTTATATTATTTGTTTTTTTTTATATAACAAAGTATAAATAAAAAAAAAGATTCGAAAAAATAGTCGTCTAATCAGTACTAACAGTTTGTGTGTATTGTTTGTCTATTGTAGAATTCAGAAGCTTCATCCTTTTCTGTCCATAAATTCTTCAAATTGTGGATTTCAGCGATTTGAAAAACGCTACACATGTAGTTTCTGTACAGTTTCCGACAAACTTCTTTGTTGGTGTGATATAAATAACCTAAAATTTTTTTTTATAAAACACTGAAAAGTACAACAAATACTTCTTTGTATCTATTTTTTCAGCATGTCGGCGACTCAGCCTCTATTGTTAAAGACTTAGCGACCGGTTCCTCGAATCATGAGGTACTTAAACGGCTGCAATCCGCTAAAAGACCAGTGGTAATTCTTGGAGCTGATCAGCTGAAGACTTCTGAAGGATCAGCGCTTCTGGCCTTCACTCAGGAACTTGCTTTGCGATTGCAAGATCAGCTCGAAGATAAGGAATGGAAGGTAATTGCATATTTAGATTTAGAAATGTTACTATACTATAAAATTATGTAACATTAAGTACTCAGCAATAAATATATTTTTAATGATTTCATAGCATATAGCCTAAATGATACTATTTAACTATTTATGTCAAAATAACTTTTATCAAGTATATTTGACTCCTTAATGACAATCTCTCAACACCATAGACCAAGCATTGTATGGAGATGTGTTTGTTGGCTGCCCTACATGGTATAGATATTGGCCTTTCTTTATATTAATAATTTATTTGAATAAATGTAATCAATGGTAATACGACAACGTTTTATATTTTCTGCTAGCGATATTTAATTTTCTTTTAATTAGTTTATAATCTCTATATGTATATTGTAATTGTAATATAACTTAAATTTTGTATAACCTTCTGCTTGTCTCTTCATGGTAATATAAAATATATACTTTTGAAGAAGATATATTTTTTCCGTAAATTTTCAGGTCCTGAACGTCCTTCAAAGAACTGCTTCGCAAGTTGCAGCTTTGGACGTTGGTTACAAACCAGGTGTTGGAGCGATTCTGCAAGATGGACCAAAGGTTGTCTACCTACTGGGAGCTGATGCAGGAGTCGTCACTCGGGAGTCTTTGCCTAAAGACTGTGTTGTTATTTATCAAGGTAGATTTTTATGCGGCATAAAGAAATATCTTTTAATGCATAAAATGTTAAATAAAATATCAATGTAAGCGATAAGATTTTCCTTATTAGTTCAGCTCATAGTTAATGAGAGGTTATAATTAAAATATCGCACATCGCCCGATCGTTTATTTTAAGTAAATTAAGTATTTAATAGTATATACTAAATATTATACTAATAAAAAGTGTAATTTGTTAAAATTATTCAATAGAAACAGTCAAAGGATTCTCAGTTTAATTTTTTATTTAGGTCATCACGGTGACGCGGGTGCGTCCATTGCGGACGTGGTATTCCCGGGTGCAGCGTACACTGAGAAACGGGGAACGTACGTGAACGCCGAAGGACGGGCGCAGCAGACCCTGCCCGCTGTTACTCCCCCGGGCAAGGCTAGGGAGGACTGGAAGATTTTACGGTAACACGTTCCCCGCAAAATTATGTTACTGTAAAAAGATTTTGGTTTTAGACTTTCAGAAAATTATTATTTTTAGTTCTTCTATGCCTACAAATTATAGATTATAAACATTTGCCAAACTAATCGTGTGTCTAAAATTTATTCATTAAATATATTACTTTTGAAACGAACGATATGATACGATTTTCACGGCATTTTCGACTTTCCTTAAAGATCTAAGTCTTTTTTTATTTCAGGGCGCTTTCGGAAGTATTGGGAGCTCGTCTGCCTTATGATACCTTAGACGAAGTCCGTGATAGAATGGCTGAGATAAGTCCGTCTCTCGTCGCGTATGGAGATGTCCAGAATAACAATTACTTTGCCCAGGCTAGAGTGTTAGCACAGGTACGAAAGAAAATCATACTTTTTATAGAAGTTTGCTTGAATAGAAAAAAATCTATACAGTTATAGACTGAAAGAACACTTATTATAGGATTTTTTCCCTTTTTTTATTTACCTTGAATGTCTATAGTTATTAATCTATAGAAAACATGTTAAATTGAAGTTTAAACATTAATAAAAAAAAGTTTTTCGAGTATCAGAGTGAAAATTATTCATCACTTTTATACTTTAAGAGAATTTAATAAACCGACTTTTTGTGAGGCTACTTCACCGATTAAATCTTAAACATACTATTTTTTTTCTTATCATAATATTAACAGAACATATAGCAGCGATGTAAGTTCTATGCATTATTTGATATACGCTTTTCTTACAGAGTTTACAGAAACCGGTCTCTGGAAAATTGGACGTCCAGTTAAAGCAATTAGAAGATTTCTTCATGACAGACGCAATTAGCCGCGCCTCGCCCACTATGGCCAAGTGCGTTCAGGCCGTACTTAAACAGAAACAATCTCCATACTAAAATCAATAGTAGACATTTATTCATTCTACCATACTTACGGATACAAAAAGTCACTAGTGATACCATGTTATTAATTTACTATAACTAGTATTTTACTACTTATATACATTTAAAGAACTTTAGTAAAACAATCGTTGACGTAAACGTATATTTAAGCTTTTCTATAAACTTATAAGGATCATAATTGTATCACAGTAGAATGAATAAAGGTAATCAACCAAAATATTGCTTGAAAATAGTTCAAATAATTTATATATTAAATCTATAATCAAGTGAATTTTTATATTTAGAATTATCCGCTTTCTGCAATCATTTTAACGAAGGAATACTTCAGAAAAGAAATACCGAATGAACATTCCTTTAGCATCATTGGGCAATTTAATTTATTACATAATAGTAAGCATACAGTTTCAATTTATCGTATTAAACGTAGATGGGAATGTGAGACAAGACGGAATAAATGAATGTAAAGAAATGTAAATATTTATTAGTTAAATAAATCGTAGAATAATGATTGTCGACATTGTATTTTTATTTTTAAACCCAGTCTTCAAAATATAAACAACATTTTTTTCTTCTAATAGTTAGGTACTGGAAAGGTCTTGTCATCTAAGCAGTTTGTACGCCGATATTCCTGAAAACAAAATAGAATAGAAGCAAAAATAACCACTGCAAAAAATATCTTAAACTTATAATGATATATACAATAAAGTTCGTAAGTATTCACAAAGTATAGACAAAGACTGATTGGCGATGTAAATAAAGTTACTGTCTTGGTTATTATCAAGAAATATTTAAAATCTGATTAGTCTGTCTGTAGATAAATAGGCTGTTTGAGAGAATAAAAAATTAAGTGTATTGAAAGTAATCTGCATAAAACATCGCTTTAATAGAGTGGTCAAAAATAATTAGATAGTCAATGAATCCATAATTAAAAATATTTATTTTTATGTAAGTCATCTGACAAAAGATTAGTCGAATCGACCAAGAGGGTACGTCCAGTTTTATTTCGTCAAAAATCGTTTTAGAAATGATAATACATTAAAAAATTGAATTGTTTGCCGCTCGCTAAAATTACAATTTTTCAGTAATATTGTTATGTTGTTGAAATTTAAATCTGCTGTAGATGAAATGTGGGTATCTTAGTTGAGATTCCGAATATAATTTCGCAGGGAAAACTTAATTTTGGTTAGCCAAATGTCGACAGAATAGCTATAAGTGTGAAAATTGAAGTGGTCCTTTGAAGTATTCTTCTAGTCGTTCTTACACATTTTAAACTTGTTTAAAAAACCAAGAACCATAACATAATATCAGATACTATCTGCTAACAAATATATATACGCTTCTAACGAATGCTGTCTAAGACCCGTTTCAATGAATGAATCGTAGCGCGATTGTTGTTCTTCTTTGAGCAATTTGAGTTGATTGTGCACACTTGCAGTTCGATTGATGTTTCTCTCTTTTATAATCTACAAGTTTACTGTTTGCGTTTAAAATTTAACAATTTGTTAATATAAATATCATAACTGCTATTATAAGAAGAATATAGTCCCGTTCTGATAATGTTCATATCACATAAAATATAAAGAAACAGTTTTTTGTTTCTCGAGAGACATCAATAGGAAGACGAAACAAAACGTTAAAAATGTGGTCACTAGCCTTTAGACATCAGAATTTTAAACACAATCGAAATATACATATATGTATATCTCACAACGGCGGATCCATCTTCCGAATCAGTGGAGGTCATAAAAGATTTTTCCTAACACGTTGTAATTTTTCGCTTTTGATAACACATTTTTATTAGGGTAAGCCGTAAAGTTGGGTAAGTTATTATTATTGATATCTTTTATCTTGCTATTGTTCCGCTCTTGGTATTCGCGCATGTCGTCAATAGTTTGTAATGTTGTCTAATAATAAATAGTATGTCTAACGCAAGGACTCATCAGCACCAATCTAGTAGATATTATGAAAAAGATACAGGATGTAGATTTTTTCGAATTTTAATAAGAATTAGTAAAGAAAATCAATTTTCTTATAAAAACGCAAAATAAATTATAACTCCGCAGGGGTTGAGCTTAGAGACCTCCCGTACAACAATTTTTTGCAGCTGATGACCTCATCTATTTGCGTTTGATCCATGACTTTTTGGCCACCCTGTATATAGGCTATTCTTGGTTAGAATGCCTTGCATCATAATAAGTAACATCTCTAAAATACCTGTATTGTAACAGGCCAAGACTTGATCCACTTCTGTGATTGCTCATTTAGATTTAATATATTCTTTGGTAGTATTGTCTTTAATTAACATAACTTTTATTCATTTAATAAAACACTATTTTGACCGGATTGAAGTTATGTATTATTATAAATTTACAACTATTTAACATAATTTTAAATAGTTGTAAATTTATAATAATACATAACTTCAATCCGGTCAAAATAGTGTTTTATTATATTCTTTGGTATTTATTAAATTATTCTGCTCTTTTCTATTTATCCCATTCGCTTTTATGGAGTAATAAGACCCTACGTGACGGCATGATAAATAAAATTTTCGACGAATCTACGTGGCCACTGGCCACGTGATTTTACCAACGCTATATCCAAAATTGCAGTCGTAATTATTGCTAAGACTTATAATATTTCCGTTGTACTTTTTCCAGTCGTTTTTATATCAAACTTTTAACTTTTTTCGCTTGGCAATGAAAAAAAAAATTATGGAAGCTTATAAATTAATTTTGAAAATTGCTTTAGCACTTTTAGAACAACAACCAGCCCCTTTTGTAATTTTCATTCTAAAGATATAGTTCATAAAGTATTCATTTTTTGGCTCGCGAGTGTGTTGCCGGCCTTTTCAGAATAAATTCATTATTTTCTGTTAGAGTTTTAGATTTGTAATATCAGTATTATTGTTAGCACTTCATAATGTTTAATTTAATTATTCCATTTCACGATTTATCAAATGTATATAGTGACGTCTTTTAATTTGCGAAAAAGATTCAATTTTGGGATACGAAACTGCTAAAGCTGAAAACCAAGGGCTATTGAATAAACATTTATCGCGTCATCAATCAACGTCTCTTTTAGTACCTAATTCATAGTTCAACTTCGCAATAACTTTCCGATAACGTCGAAGAAATCTTCCATGTTTTGAATTCTTGAATATAATTTGAGAAAATTGGCTCTTTAGGGCAAGAACAACCGAACGAATACCCGGTTTTTACAATACAACACCAGCTTTTTATTCTTTAGTATCGTCCACAAAAAAAAATCTTTGACAAGTCTTAAGGGTAGTGAGTAGGTAGAAGTTAAAACAAAGTTATTATGGGTCTGATAACTTGATACTATAAAGAACACACACATTTATTGCACATTTTGTTTGACTGCATCTTTAACCACTTTAAAAACAAAAGTTCATTATAGATTCAAAAATGTATACATTCACTAACAATCTTAAGGAACATCTTCTTAACCTGTCCTATGATGAAACCAAAAGTATTCTTCTTGTGCAATAGGAGATTAATAATATAATTGTAAATGTTTTGTAGAATTTATTACGTCAAGTACCTGAAATCATTAATATATCAAATGGAAGAGACTAGCTACCCACGACACAGGCAATCTCATCTAGTGTGTACCTACTTTCTCTTTTAACTATAATATGTAGATCCTTTCTTACTATGTGCAAAATTCTGAAAAAAAAAATTGATGGATTCGCTTTGATATTTAAAAAGATAAGAAAAGGGATATTGACAATGACAATTTTATGATAATTCAACGCAGTATTCTAATAGTAATTACTACAAGCCACTTATTTGTAACCATTTATTACAATAATCCCTTGAGAACCATCAATTTTATACACTCAGCTCAAACAGGAGCTTTCCTACTTTATTGATGATAGAGAATTATCCCCGAGGGTGTCTGTCGAGACTGTGATACCTAAGTAATATCTAAGTCTAAGGGTGAGATCTATAGTGCGCACTTGGACTTTGCTCAGACTTACCTTACGAAAAACTTTGCTTAGTGTACACTAAGGTTAAACTATGATTTCGTATTTATAGACATTTTAACGGTGAGATTAAGCTAAGCCCAAGCTAAGACAGAAAATGTCAAAATACAAATTGATGTTTCATTTCATGCAATACTTTGTTTATTATCCTTTAAAAAAGTTAACAATAACAAATATTTAAAAATCTAAAACGGTACACATATATCTTCAATTTATTGTTATTTATGTATTCATTTATTTTATTATTGCAATAACTAGAAATTCACGAGTAACCTTTAGAAAATGTATTAATTATTTAAAGATGACAATAATTTTATTACGTAGAACGGATCGCAATGTTTTGGTTAGGTTATAGTTTGAATTTCGTTGTCACTATAATATGCCAATTGCCAGGGCTGCCAGGTGACATACAAAATCACACCAGTTATTTTTAAGATTTCTCAAAAATGGGGTTTGAACAATTACATAAATAATATAAATAAACAACAATAAATACCATAATAATGTGTAATTATTTTATTTCATGCATTTCATAGGTATTTATCAAGATCATTTATAATTTCTTTGAATTCAAATTCTATTTTTCCCAAAGTCTATGGAACTCCGATACAAAATGGCAACACCGTTCATTAAAAACCGACAAAAATAAAAAGTCCAGTAAAAGATATGATGGTAAAGCAAATTTTGGGCCATTATTTTTGTTAGGCTTATAGTCAAAGTTTTTGGTAAGTCGTCGATTTCGTGGACTTGAGATTAAGCTAAGCCAACACTAGGGAGAGATTCGTAGTTTGCTCTATAAATACCGACTGTGTCTTAGCTCGATAGTTAAGTCAGAGCAAAGTCTAAGTGCGCACTATAGATCTAAGTCTAAGACATATATTAAAGTCTGTACGATGTAATAACTTTTATACTTTGCATTAAAATACAGTTTCTAACAGGAAGATCTTCTTTGACCAAACAAATATCGAGTACTGTGGTAATATTT